CACTAGTCTCAATGGAAATTTCTTGCTCTTGTGACACCTTTCATTTATATTTCAGAATAATTATATTTGACTTTAAATGCATTCATAAATATTTAAATTTAGGATGTTTTTATACACTGTCATCCCATACTATACTATCATTTCGTAATGGTTTATTGTACATATTTTGTACAGCACTGTATCGTTCGTAATTTCAACCATTTCCCTATTGATTTTAATTATCATATTTCAATCATAGTACTTTACAAAAATTACATTTCTCCATGTTTTCGTTAAAAATCAAATGAAAATACTACAAATTCAATAAATGAGTAGATAACAGATTGAGTATATAGTCCGTTATAATACTTGCAGGTGTCAGCAGCTACCAGCAGCTACCTTCAAGCATGTTAGTTCCGATTTCCATAAAAAACTAGTGCTATAAATTTCTATGAAAACGATTGAAAAAAATGTATATTTCTCGTATATTTTCCACAAAAACTGTCATTTTTATACGAATTTTAAATATTATGTGTAAAACTGTGCGTTAAGATAGCTTTGTTCTGTAAAATAACATAAAAACGACTGTTCAAACTGAGATTATATATAAGTATCTACGCGAGTAACAGATATTTGAAATTTTTTAATTCACTTCAAATACGATTAAGAAAATTTGAATACAGTAAACTATTAGGTTGTCCGAAAAGTTTCTTTCGCTTTATTAATAAGTAATACATGCACAATATTTTATGCTTTATGTTACATTACTGAATTGTGCACGATTCATTTTGCTCCATTACTGTTACAACATGAATATCTATGAAATTAGATTATCTATTTATATAAACACGACCACATAAAATAATTGAGTGTAACTCGCGAAAGAAACTTTCGGGACAACCTAATACTATAAGAAAACTATAATACATTTCGTGTCTCGAATAATTGAAATCACTAGATTTGCATTTCAAACACGTGCAATTACGTTTAGCAGCATTTACCGAGTTACAATAATGACGTTTACGAAGTAATTGATTCGATTGTGTACGTTACCATATATTTACTTAGAACAGTGTCTCTCAAATTGGAGGTACGTGTTCAACAATTTATCTTTATCGAGGGGATCTTTAGATATATGACGATTGAGAATTACTGAGTTAGAAGATGGCGCTGAAAAAACGAGATAGAAAAACTCGATATAAATCACGAAGGACCCTGCAAAAAAATAGAACAGATATAAATATCAACTGTCGGAAACTGCAAGGTCGATAAAACAATTCTAACGTGTATTTACTTTAATTTGTGGCGCCTAAAATCATGGTAGTTTAATTTATTCGGAAAATCGGAAAGATTCGAAAGAACTGTTGAGAAAGGCGCTCAATATCGGCGTGAAGTTTGGTGGTACATTTCATTGGCGAATTTACCATTAACATATTGTACTGTGAACAGCAACCTCACGTAACTTGTAATCGTTATTCGTTACCAATATCAGCAAAAAAAGAAATAAATCTATTTGCAAGGTGAAACTTGAAATATACAATTCTTTTCTTAGAATTGCTAAGCTGAGCAATTTCTTGAAAGCAGATTTTGTTTTACATTGTACTGTCAGTGATATCAGTGATTTTATCGCTTTGTCGTAAATGCATAACAGTGTTTCTAAATTTCATCTAAACGTTACTTCAGGTATAAGTTATTACTTTCGATTTCAGTATTATATTTACATCATCATTACACAGGACGATATTTCACTATGTCGCTACTGTGCAATCTATGTTCGATCGGAAAATATTTCGGCAATAAACTGCAATAAACGATCTTGTTAAGTTATTGTATATATAGTTTATAATAACACAATCAGTCGACGATTAACTTTGCAACAACGTGTCAGTAGTTAACAAAAATGATCTTACGATGCATTAACATCGAGCCTTGATAACATCAATGTTGTTCGACGTAATTTAGGCATATTTTTTTACAATCTACGTGTAAAATTCGTCATTTTGCAGTACAAATAACAATGTATATTTTGACAAATAACGAAACGCGTACATAGGTGATTGGTTTTTAAATTAAAAATACATTGAATCAAAACTAATGTGCATGTTGATAATGTTGTGTAATTTCATACAAGCTGCTAATACATTCACTAATAGGTCACACATTTCACTTTGCACTGTTTCTTTGTGTGTACAGAAAAGGTATTATCATGATGTATGTTTAATTAACATATATTTTAACAGGTGTAAAATGGTAACACAGTATTGAAAATCTTGTAGACAGAATGTCAGACAACGATGATTTATTACACGTGTTTTCGTTGCATGGAATAGATCCCTCTGGAAGAATAATAAGCATAGGATATTCTGATACTACAGAGTCTAATACTAATCATCTTCCAAATTTTGATGTAACCATAATAGGATGTCCTTCACACCCGAGACAAGAAGAACAAGCTAATGAATTGATTAATGGTAAAGGTTATTAATAGTATTCGTATATAAATCAACAAAGTTTCTTTAATGTTTAAGACAATAATAAAAAGATTCAAAGATAAGTAAGTTTAAATTTAATGAATGTATCAATTGGTATTTATTGTTAAAGCAATATCTGATGCTCAAGCTCCATCTGACGAGGAGTCAGTACCTGAATCAATGGACAATATACAAACAAGGGATGTAACAGATGGAGTATCTTCTCCAAATCAACAAGAAGTCAGTGCACAAGCGGTAAACTCGGACGATGAGTATGTATTAATTTGATTAAATAATATACATTTATACATGCATACATTAAGTAAATCATTTTTATTCAACATAGCAAAAGATATTGCTGGGTATGTTTTGCAACGGATGAAGATGATGCGACTGCATCATGGGTAAAACCATGTCATTGTCGTGGAACAACCAAATGGGTTCATCAAGGATGTATACAGAGATGGGTTGATGAAAAACAAAAAGGACGTGCAGGTGCACATGTAGCATGTCCACAGTGTAACACAGAGTACATCATTGTATATCCAAATATGGGTTAGTTGTTTTCAAATTTATAAATACTTATAAAGTTAGCTGTTATAATTTATATACAGTATATACATATGCTATAATTAATTATTTCAGGACCGTTAGTAATAGTATTAGATACCATTGATGGAGTAATTTTCCGAATCTGTCCATTTATAGCAGCTAGCATAGTTGCTGCATCTATATACTGGACAGCTGTGACATATGGAGCGGTAACTGTAATGCAAGTCGTCGGTCATAAAGATGGTTTGGCTATGATGGAACAAGCTGAACCTATGGTATTATTAGTTGGTTTACCAACCATACCCATAGTGTTGGTCTTGGGTAAAATGCTTAGATGGGAAGATCAAGCGCTTAGCCTTTTCAGACGACACGCATGCAAGGTTCCTATTTTGAGGCACTTTTTGCCAAGTAGGTATGTGTATACAAATTTTTAAGTCTTAAGCAATGTTAGATTATTTACTTTAAATTAATGAGCATTTATTTTTTTAGTTATTCCAGCGACGATAGAGCACAATCTGAAGAAGTACCTCCTATGAGTGACCCAGTATCAGCAACGCGTATTCTTTGCGGCGCACTTCTATTACCTAGTATCGCTAGTATATGTGGCAAAATATTCTTTGAAAGTATACACTCCAATTTTCACAGAACGTTACTTGTACGCATTAAATACATTTATCTCTAACGAAAAAATTCGTTTGAATAATTACTAATAACATTATATGAAACTTTGCAGGGTGGTATAGCATTTATAACAATAAAGGGTGCATTCAAGATTTATCATAAACAACGACAGTACGTACGACAATGTCAACGTCGTATAATGGACTATACAGATGATAATGTGGCAATATACAGAAGGCAACAAAGTTCCGAAACCAATCAGACAAGTTAAATAAAAATGCATAAAAGATTTTCGAAGAATGTGTTAACGAGGAACTAAACTTCTTGGTGTACTTTGTATACTACTGTCCGATATATTCCGATATAAACGATTTAGGTTTATGGGTACTATAATCAGGTGTAATAAATATAACGTAAGATATATGTACATACATGTAAGAATGAGAAATTGTCGCTATATACATAAACCTTGTTAGTCAGTTATTATACGTGTCCGACGAACAATGTTACATCTTTTAAATGTATTAATGGAACAACGATGCCAGTTTCATCGTTTTTGTAGTAAATAAGAAATGAACAGCTACAATGACGAAACATTTTTAGCACAAATAAATTTCTTTTTGCTCCAAATTTAACTCTTGCAGCGGCTTCCCATAACCAACTATAAAACTACTCGTGATGAAAAAGACCAACAACTATCATCAATTGTTCTGTACGTTAGAAAATGTCCATTATAGGTTAGTTTTGGATCAGATAATAAATCGTTTATATTACGTCCACTAAAAGTTTTGTAAGAATACTTTATTTTATGTAAATGTTTTACTTGCTGTAGATATAAAGAACTAATAAACATCGATTCAAATCAATAAACCGAGTTTCTTTTCTTTACCTGGACAAGTACATTTTATAATTATATATATATATATATATATATACATACATATTGAACAATTCACTTAAATTTTTAATTAATTAGAAAGAAATAAAAAACTCAGGTACTAAAAAAAGTTTTCAAAAGAGAATTATATAATATATAAATATATTTATTACTAAGTATTATTTTCTGTAATGCAAGTTATTAATTAATTAAGTACAACACATATTTAAAAAATATTTTACCTAATTGTCTTGAATAATCGTGAATGTATTTTCTTAATATGTACCATGAAAACAATTAAACTTTACAAAAATGTAATATATACAACATGTAAAGTAATACATAATTTACTATTGAGATAATATTTCTACATTTTAAATATTATGTGATACAAGTATCATATTTTATAAAAATAAAATTTTCATTTTTATTCTAGAACTATTATATATTTCTTATTACATTTATGTGTAAATTGTACTATAATACATTCTTTGTTTACATTCTAGCTCTGTCTACCAAGAAAATAGTAAATTTAATGTATTTATTTCAAATTTGTTATCATTTCTGTATATATAACCTGTACAATTGCAAATTCAATAAAAATGCAAGAGAAATGCATGTGTTCTATTCAAAGGCAAATCTTTTTCTAATATTGCAGAAAATCAACATTATTAAATAAAAATGGAAATAATATTACAAAGTATAAAATAATTTCTATTCTACGAGACTTAGGCAATGCGTGTATGTATATGTATACAGGGGGTTTACGTACACATGGTAACTATTTCAGAGGGTGATTCTATAATTTAAAATAAGCCGAAAATTAAAATTATTGCAACTGTGTTTGAGGCTGTCACTTCTTTATAGATCAGAAAGTAAATAAAGCTCCAAAGACAATCGCGTCATTCTAAATTTTCGAATTATTTCGACTCGTACATATAATTACCCTCTAAAAGAAATATCATCTTGTATATATATATTTTCTTGTATGTACAAGCATATTTTATGATTAATCTGTTAAAGAATTTTTAATTTTATAACATTAACTTTCATTCAAATCATAATACGAATTAATGCTATAAAATATAAAATTCTTCAACAGATTGGACATAAAACATGCTTTGATACTTCACATCAAATTAAAGGTGGTCCAGTATATTCAAGACTTTCAGAATAAAAATTTGGTGGACCTTCGATAACTAATAAGTTGACTTCTTCAATTATATCTGTAGAATCCGTGCATAACTTGGAACTAATAGTTTTGAAATATGTACATGGTCTTGGACCATTTTCACAATCACCCACATCATATGGTGGACTAAGTATGTCTAAGAACGCAGCAGGACCCTCGATACACGAAATTTCATGCAAGTTTTTATCTCGTGGTGTAAGCACACAAGCAGGTGAATTACTGTGCAAAGATACCGGTCTGTGTCTAAATGCTGCTATTTCTTTATTCAATTTGACTATATGATCATTGTTTGTCTTCAAAGTATAACTGTTCACTTGAACCGCACCACTGATTACCTGTACAGTGAAATCCAAACAAATGAATTAAATACTCTTCACACGTGAAAAGTGACAAAAGAATATATCTATTATACACACCTTTAAAAAACCATGCATTCCAGGATGATTATGCATTGGCATTGTAACTCCATGTTTCAAAATAAAAATCGAAATGGTCAGATCTTTATTTTCAAATATGTCAATAACACACATCGGTGCAGGTTGTGTCTCTATATAGTCGAGAACCTGCTTGTTTAAATTTACATCCTCGGCTGTAATTTTATTCATTAAATTCCATAATTTGTCAAAACTCTTATGACAAAGTTTGAAGCCGACGTTTCTTCGTCCATCGAATGTTTTTAGTGCTTGCTTCCACAAGATTTCAATTGCTGACGTCATATTTACTAATTTTACAACGTTATTCTCGTAAATTCACCTTTTGAAAACCACATTGTCACGTCAATAATTTTGCAACAAATAATGAAAACTCGCATAACAAGAAAAATATAATTCGCGAAACTATGTTAGACCATTAGGAAAATAATTGTGAACGTAAATCAGTTGAATTAAATAAACAATTTCTATAAATACCATTAAATTATTTCGTGTAAAACTTATTCACGTTTCATGTTTTCCTCCGAAGCTTCACCGTACGAATAACATTTAAATCGTACCAATTTACATACTTTAGAGGTTAAATTAAACTGAATCGCTTTATCATTATGTATCACAATTTATTAATTACTAATGAAATTTTTAAATAGAAATAAGCGTTGTTAACATAAATCTCGGTTTTCTAATTAGATTTGGCCTACGACGATACTTTACGCTTGATACTAAACTATGCTAAACATAGCTGTGATTTGTGGCGCACCAGGGGAGCCAAGCTCACGTGGATGAAAGTAAAAAAGTATAGTGACTTAGTGATTTGCTTTTTTACTTCTGATGAATAGAGGAGGATCATTTATATTTAGACTGTCTAAATTAGACAAACATTTTTTTTAAATAATTAAAGATAAACGTTTATTTAACTGTTACGATAATACGACGACCTTTTATATACAACAGAATTTTTGTTCAATGTGCTATATAATTTATTCATACTGTATGACTCCTCATATAACATAATTCCATACAACGTGAACGTATTATCGCATTATACAGGGGCCTAACTTGCAGCTAAATCTATTGGTAAAACAGGACAGAGCAATCACGAATACTTCTTCTCGCTTGTGTCAGGGGTCCCAGATTTTAGTTAGCTTGCACTTGGTAGGTGCCGATAGTAGTTATTACAACTACAAATGAACGTATCGATGTACACCATCGCAAGTTTCGTGTCAGACTGACACTGTTAGAATTAGACGTGGGGATGAGCTTTATTTATTTACTATCCGAAGTAAACCTTTTTTGAAATATAATTGTTAGTGAAAAACATATGAAAAGCAGTTTCTTCTTATTACAATTATTAATTTCTGTGCAAAGGTAAGAAAGATTAAACATTTTGCAACTTATTCGATTAGTTTGCTGGTAAAAATTTGTAATGTGTCATATGAAACTATGTTTGGATTTTTGGGAATAGGTATACTAGTATTTTGATAATACAGAAAAACAGATTTTATTCATTTTCGATTGGTTTGGTAGTTCTAAGTTCAACTACTGTAACATTTACCATTGTTTATAATGGAATTCCCAATGTAGATACGAGTAATTATATATAGTTCCAACAATGTCTTGCCATGTTTTGTGCCATTGTAAATGTATTTTTAACATTTTAATAGTTTGAGAATGAGAGAATAAAGAATATGTTTGATTGTAATAATATAATAAAATATAAAGTTAAGTTCAGATAGTATATGAAATTAAATATCACTTGTATATATAACTCATTTTGCCCATCTCTGGTGTTGTATATTCATTACTAATAAAATTTATTATTGTATGGTAATTTAGAACAAACATGATTTCTAATAGCTATGTCCAATGAGGAGCGTCTGCGGAAGCTTCTATCTGATTTAGGAAAAGCTACATTACGTGGGGTCCGCAAATGTCCAAAGTGTGGAACTTATAATGGATCGCGCGGTTTGTGTTGTAAAAACAAACATTGTGATGCAGTATTCAAAGAGCCTGGTGAAAAAAGAAAATTGTCAACAGAGGCTTGTAAACTTATTACTGGTACAACTGCACAAGTCTTCTCCGTTAGAGTACGAGACAAAGGTCCAGATTATCGTGGATTTGTTCAGTTACCATTAATAAATGCAACAATTTCTAATGAAATGACAACACTTATTTCACAATCTACAGCACTGTGCTTTGTTGATAGTTGTGAAAGGAGTTTTGATACCAGTGTTCTCAAATGTCATGTAAGTTTCATAAATAACATATGTTTTACACAAAGTTCCTCAAACAATGATTTGTGAATTCCTGAAGGTCTAATGGTTCTCAGTTTGAAAACAGAACAAAATTAAGGTATTATAAATTTAAGGGGTATCAAGGTGGTGGTGTTTGAGGATCAATGTTTTATATAATAACATACAATGCAGTTATAAAATCAATTTATTGTTATAGAATTTTTAATGGTTTTCATTGTAGGAAAAGGATACGACCGATGTGCCTGTTTCTACATGCCAACATATACAGGCAGCTTTAAGATGTTACGCAGAAGCGCAACCATTAACGTTAAGGAATTCTATTTTATCAACATTAAGTGTAAATAATGAAATGAAACAAGAAATTTGGTTACTGGCTACAGAAACTTCAGGTCCGTTAGTGCAACGTGTATCTAAGAATATAATGGCAGTGAAGTGTAAAGCTTCACCAAAGCATCCATTAGGTTACCTTCATTTTTCTCTCTTTATTACAAAATTGAAAGATAGAATCGAACATCGTTATTTTTGTTCTTGTTCTTCATTTAAGGCAAGTAGAGAAATAAAAAAAAAATTCGATTGTATTTCGAAATAAATTTACTATCGAGTATTAATAAAAACATTGAATCTTAACATAGGGTGTAACAAAAACGGCAGGAGATAAAGCAGATGTAGCGCAATCGTTGCAGAATAAACGTTGCGTACATTTTTATGCATGTATTTGCGCATTTGCTAGTGATGTAAAGTTATCAGAAGAATTCAGTTTTTACATAAATTTAGATCAGACTGATTTCAGTATACCAAAACCATTAACAACAATGTTGCAGAATAATGAACAAGATAGAATAGTTGGAATTGGTAAGAAGATTAGATTTGATTAGATTTTAAATTTAACGTAATATTGTTTTTACACTAAACAAAAAAATTGCAGATCTTGATGGTCTAACTACAGATGATGCAGATACACATCTTCTAATATTTCGCGATGATACTTTAACAGTGCAGAGTTTAGATGGAAATAGATTGGACTTAGATTCAATGAATTTGGATTCTACAATCTTACCAAATAGTATTGTTGAAAATATAGAAGTAGAATGTGATCGTACCTTATTAGAAGATAATAATATGATATCACAGGTTCACAATTTAGAAGTAATTAATCAAAATGGCGTGCTACTTGGTGGAAACACGGTCAAAATATTAGAAGATCAAACAACTATAGATTGTAAATACAATGTGCTTAATAATCGTCAATATATCCTAAATGATAATAATATAAAGGTATTGAATACTGGAACTTTAAAGGTCCTCGATACAAGTGCTATTTTGGATGTGAATAATATAAAATTAATCGATACCAATACCGTTTCAAACACAAATGGTGTGAAAATAGTAAATAAGAATGTAGTAATACCCTATGATACTGGAAATGTATCAAGCACGGGAACTAGTAGTACACAACAGCCAATTTCTACAAAACGAAAAAGGGATGATAAACCATTAATTACAAATACTACTAGTTTGAATAATTTGAACTCAATAGAACCGAGAAAAGCTAAAACAAAGTCACAAATTGTTAAAAAGTATCAAAATCCGTGCGAAGATTTAGACGAAGCCAACATACACTTACCATTTATTAAATGGTTAGCATCGATAACTGAAAGAATAAATCAAACTATGCATTTTCAATTCGATGGGAAACCTGATCCTCTGGTATTTCATGTACCACAAATATTTTTCGATTGTTTACGAGAAAGGATATCTTGCGGAGGTAAAAAGAAACGATTACCAAATTCAACGACAGCATTTGTCAGAAAAGACGGTGTACCGTTAGGCACATTTACTAAATACACATGGCAAATTACTAACATTTTACACGTCAAAAGTATTTTTGACACCCCGCTTATACCTTTAGAAGTCACAAGAAGTTTTGTTCAAAATGCTGATGGTACATACGAGTTGTATAAGCGGGAGGAAACAGAAATAGATCGGTATAAAAAAACCAATAATAACGCGTTGATTAAACCCTTAGAATTAAAAACGTATCTGAAAGTTGGTAAGAACCCTGAACTTTTTATAATAAATTAATTAGTTAATATAACTACTTAATCAATAATAAATTTTTGATTCCGTTTACAGGAAATACTTCCCCAAACCAAATCGAACCAACACCGTTTCTGATAGAGTGGATACCGGATATCTTGCCAATATCAAAAATTGGTGAGCTTAGAATTAGATTTGAATTTGGTCATGTAAAAAATGAGACGAATCATAGATGGAGAAAAATAGCTTTATTAAAAAATTATTGAATGTATAATTTTGTAATAATTATCTTTGTATTACCAAATTTTCACTTTCCTATTATCAACAATTACGAAATCTGAGAATTTTTTCCGTGGAAAAAGAAACGATAAGTATAAAAAGCTATTTTGAAAATTTTCTAGTATATATGTTTGGAATATTGATCCATTCAATACATAATATTTTGTCGTAAAAGCAATAAAGAGAATGTTTTGCAATCGAGAAAAAGTATGAATTTAAAGTACTATAAAAGACTGATCTAATTTTACAGTATCATTTTCGTGAAAGCACGGTTTTTCTTAAAATAAATCATTCATATTTTCATATCACGATAGTAATTATACTGTATCATATTGCAAGACCAGTATCTTTTGTTCATTAAACGTATTCATTATACATTTATAAATTAATTTATTGAAAATAAATGTATTACAAATTATATTTATATTCTTGAAAAAAAAAAGAGTACTAAATTGTATTATTATTGTATAAGAATGTGATATATTGTAAATATATAATTTAGATCGAATGTTGTTATGTAAAAGTGAAAACGTTTACAATTATACGAAGAAACTCCGTTTGTTTTATGATCTTCAAAATAAATTACATATCTAACATATTTGTTTTTTTAATCCTTGTAGTAGTCTTTCATTTCATTTTTCATTATTACTAGTGAAATAGGACTACATTCTGAATGTTTGAACTTTTATCTACTACTAAATATTTCTTTCTTTTTTGGAATCGGCGTTAAAATTGCAGATATTTAAGTCAGATATTTATTAGATTTTAAGTCTACTTAAAATCCTTAATAACTCCGACATTTAAATTTTCGACTTTTGCGAGACTGGATTTCTCAGCGCATTTATTCAAAATCGATTCTACAATCGATTTCGTAAGACTTGAACATCCCTAGATCCCTAGATCATAACTTACATATTCAGATGGGCTGTTGTACGAAACGATAGTTCGTAAACAGAACGAATTCTACTGTAAAAGAAAACGATTAGCGAAAAGTTTCGATTTATCGAGTCGACTACGATCAACTGCAATACGAACGATATTATTTACAATCAATTGCTGTAGTCTTTTGGTCGTTTCGAACGGAAGTGTGCCCTTACGGAAGTCGTCTCTGACGCAGAGTGCTAAAGAAACGTACCAGAGCGACCAGATTTGTCGCAGTTTTCGCGTATGCGCGACCAAGAACAACGTCGTGCATAGTGAATGTTATGGGCGCTGAAATCTAATGGGCCCCTATCGAAAAGAATATGAAACTGTTGCCCTATATTTATATAAATATACGTATTAAAACGTGAAGCTTTTTGGTAAAACAATAATGCTCTGAATGCGCTCAAGAGGTTTCACCTAAACATTTAAAAATGTTTTAAAATACCACTTAGCATATAAAGATGTACTTCTTGAACAGTTCACTTTTCTAAATACTAAAATTACGTCTCGTCACGAAGCTAGAAATCAATTTAAATTATTATATCAATTATGCAGTTTGGTTATAAACCAGCGCCACAGCATACAAAGAAATGTAATGTGACAAATTAAGGATTAATGAAACAAATATAAATGTGATATGAATAAAAAAAATACATACAAGACTGGTACCCTTCTTACATAAAGAAACAAGCAAGCAATTAATTATGCAAATTTTTAAATAGATTCTAGACATTCGGAACTTTACAATGTATAAAATTGATGTTACACAGTACTTGTTGTCGATATTGTACAGTCTCTTTCTTCCTCAGCTCGTTGGTCGTTCGTTTTCTAAAAAATTTCATGTAATTTTTTAAATCAGTCGAATAGTGGACCATACGATACCCGCTATTATTCGATCAGGGCACTTTACTGGTGCCATTTTTTACGCGCATGCGTGAAAATTGCGGCAAATCTGGTCACACTGAAGCGTACACTTCCATTTTCTCGACCCTTTCGGCGAATAGAGAGCACGTGTTTGCTTGCCGGTCGCGTTCAACTAATTCTATCGTGCAAAAGTTTCCCGTCAGACTTTCAGTCTGTTCGATTCTGGTGACGGAAGGTCGAAAGCTTCTGATCGTCGTAGAGGCAGGTTAACATGAATCCTGAAAAGTTGAAGAAGCTACAGGCTCAAGTACGAATCGGCGGTAAGGGAACACCCCGACGCAAGAAGAAGGTATGTAAATTTATTTCGAATACAAAGACGAACTTACGGAATAATCGCCAATTTTGTCGCGCCGCGAATTGTAGTGTTCGCAGAATTTCATGATGGGAATGTCAATCGGAACGATTTACGCGTTTCGGTCGTGTATGAAAATTGCTGGATTCTCGACCACCGATTATCATTTTTGCGTGACACCAAAGTTTTCCGTTTGCATTCTTCTAGACACGCGTTTATTACGATTGTAAATTACTTGCACGTGCTCCGTATTCGTAGTATTGCCCTTTCGATCTTCTACTTTCACTTTTTGTTTATCAGAGATTAGTTAGCGTTATTGGTTCCTCGTGTATAGATTTGTGATTGCAACCTAAATTTTCAGTTTATTGACGAGATTCGTATCAAACTGCTAACATCATGATGTTTAGAAGTACAGTAAATATTGGTGTTTTATGTCTGTAAAAATTTGATATGAATCAGTATATTTATTACACCGCATATCATTTTCAATATTAATGTCATTTAATTATATTCAACACGCTTTTATGACATGCATGTGAATAACATTATGAAATAGTTTGAAAAATGTTTCTATAAACATTTCGTATCAAACATTCAATGTATTTATTATTCTCCGTATTATTTTAGATGTTAATGTCCTTTATTTATATTCAATGCATTCGTAGGTTGTGCACGCGACTACTGCCACAGATGATAAAAAACTACAAAGTTGTTTGAAAAAGTTATCCGTGAACACAGTTCCTGGCATAGAGGAGGTTAATATGATCAAGGATGACGGTACCGTCATTCATTTTAATAATCCAAAAGCTCAGGCTAGTCTGTCTGCCAACACATTTGCCATTACTGGTCATGGTGACAACAAACAAATAACTGACATGCTACCAGGAATAATAAGCCAGTTGGGACCTGAAGGAGTTACACAGTTGAAACGATTAGCGAGTACGGTTTCTAGTAGCACAGTTGGTAAAGCAACGTTGGAAGAGGACGATGAGGTGCCTGATTTAGTGGAGAATTTTGATGAAGCTAGTAAAGAGGAGGTAAGAAATGAATTTGAATATTAGTACTCATACATACTTATTCATAACTATTGAAATGATTTTGTAGTAGCATTGAATACATATGTGATGTTTAAATTTTGAAGGTTGCCCCTAAAAAGGAAACAGATGAAAGTGATAAAGCAGCTGGTGACAAAAAAGAAGCTGTTACGAATGATGAAAAGAAAGAAGCCCCCTTAGCCACGCCTGAAGCTTAAAGCATTCAGTATCAAGGTACAGTTTGAAACTCTTATACTGTGTAATTTGAAAAAAATAAATCGTTTTTCAACTTTTTATTATTTTTTTTTACAGCTATTTCGTATTACAACATACAGTTGTAACTGACAAGTTGAGATATACAAGTTGCGAAAAGCAACGCGTAAACGAAGTATCACTATACATACGTTATAAATATTTGACATACCCTATGATAATGCTATATAAGTAACAGTTATTAAGAAATAAAACGAGCTGTTACAGAAATCAAAAGTTTCTATGGAAGATGTTCTTTACTGTGTTGCATTTGCTAATTGTAGATTTTGATTTGAAGCAGCTGAAATGATCTTACTCTTCCCGAGTTAACAATACTGTTAATCGTGTACGAGACCCGGTGTTCGAATTTTAAGCATTTAATTTCGATTGTTCATTCATGCGAAGCACGATGTAAAATTACGATTTTATTCATAAACACTTTCTTCATTGTCGTGTTGAGTTCGTATGCGTTCTTGTTTGACGATAACGAACTCAAAGAATCTGTAGGAATATCGATTAGTAAAATAAAATAAAGTTTCCGGCAAGTGGTAATAGTACCCTTCCACTAATTTGCAGTGACGTTACATAGACGGAAAAAAATTTATATAGAGTATAACAAGAGTAAAACAAAAAAATGCGTGAACTATTAAGTCACCTCTATTTTAATTGATGGAGTCAATAACGGTTACGGATAAGAGCAGTTTTTTGCAGCAGCTTTCCAGCGTGGAAAATGGGGTGCAATATTTTGTAATGTAAACTATGGAATAAATTCATTTGCTGGAAATGCGGGTTTCTACTTAAAATCTCATGTTTTTCTGATACATTGTAATCGTAATTTGTCAATATTTATATTTTCATCGATAGAATAGATCTGTAATAACAGTGTAATTATGGAAATATACTAATAAGAGCCACTATGTATAGTAATATACGTTTCTTAGCATTGTCCATTTACAATTTATATTATTCGTTTGTGTGTGTGTATATAACTCTGTGTTCACGTTTATTGAATATACAGATACCTTTTAATCAATTATTCTTCATTTTTCGTAACGAGTCTGCTTTATAACAGTACAATATATTAGTTAATATATCGAATTTATTATTTCTTTTTAATAGTTAATGTAAGAATAATTATCGATTTTTCGTCATTGGCGCCATCGGTGGAAAAACACTCAAGTTTGTGGTAAAGATAGTTTCTATTTTCGACACTAGATTGCAGATGCTATGCCAATAATGTGGGGTTACACACATTTATCGATTTTCACATGGATAGTTCTTCACACATGTTTTATACTTCACATTAATAATTTTTTGCAATTGCGTTTAAACGTAGCGGATTTTAATTACATTTTTCTTTTACGCGTAATTCATTTTTCCGTTAGTTGCAATTATTTTTAACATTCCCTTATCAACCGTCATACAGTTCAAACGTGTTCCCAACCAGCTCCTTGAATTCAAACTGTTAATCCTTGTTTTATTGTTCTTGTTTAAATAAATTATTTTGTTGTTTAAGTTCGGTATTCATGTTCGTAATTCTTTTATGTAGAATCCCTACGAGACCCTACATCCCTACGATCCTAGTTTCCATTTTTTTTTTTTTTTTTATGGTCTAACAACCAATCAGAATAGGCTATGTTACACATGAGTCATGGTCCATTCCGACCAATCAGGGTACGCCAGCTGGGATTCTCCGGGCTTTTGACAGAATCAACGTGTATAAAGCCAAGCGTGGAATAAACCGATGTAGTTACGCTAAGAAATTTGTTAAAATAAGAAGCGCATGAATTAGAAGTTTTAGTGTGTTTACGTTACGAGTCAGTGAAAATATTTTCTACGTGATATACGAATTACTTTCTTGGCATAGCAGTATGTAAGTTGAACTTTATCGTTGCTTTGTTAACCTGGTAAACATTGTAGACGTAAGCAGTCTTTTATTAATGTATATCATTTTCTAATGTATTAACATCAAGTGTTCTGAATTAACCTTTCATTCCAGTAAAACAATTAATATGACTAGCGTCTGTACAAATTCAAGTTTGACAGAAATAAATATTTTTATTTAAAGAAAAAATATTGTTATAAACATTGTACTAGTTTGCTAATACTTTCTTTAGTGGAAAACGATATTGTAGTCTACAAATAGTTGTACAAATTTTTACAGTTTCAAATAGGATACAATTGTATTTTATTATTGTTTCTGTGCAGAGTACACATTCACAATGAATAGTTCGCTACTATTAACACTGTTTATTTGTATTGGAGTAATATGTACTGTAACAGCCCTGAGGAATGATGAATGCGAAGGTAAGCACATATTTTTTTTTTTACTTCTCATTAATTGTTTAATTCTTATTTATCATAATATCTTTCTGTTGTTACAGTATGTATATCTACAGTGCAAAAATTTGTTAATACTTTATCTGACGATGTTAAAAAGGATACCAAAAAAATAGAAACAGCATTCAGAGAATTTTGTAAGGGTACCAAGTCTAAAGAAAACAGATTTGTAAGTATTTTTATTCATGATAGAAGAGTGTCAATTTACAACACATGTCATAAATTTATATCTACTTCAAATATATTTTTTCTTTTAGTGTTATTATTTAGGCGGTTTAGAAGATTCTGCAACAGGCATTTTAGGCGAATTAAGTAAACCTGTATCATGGTCTATGCCTGCAAATAAAATATGTGAAAAACTGAAGAAGAAAGATGCTCAAATATGTGACTTGAGATTTGGTATGTATACTATTAACTATTTTTACTATCTACTATATTTATAATCACAATTAAGTTGTATGTTTTTGTTATTAAATAATAATATTATTTAATTTCAGAAAAACAAATTGATGTTAATACCGTCGATTTGAAGAAACTTAAGGTGCGTGACTTGAAAAAAATCTTAAATGACTGGGATGAATCGTGTGATGGCTGTATAGAAAAGACAGATTTTATTAAGCGAATTGAAGAACTGAAACCTAAATATTCTCATAGTTCAAAATCAGAGCTATAAAAAGTGTTCAGTAATGTAGATAAATTATTGTTAGTATGGCTAAGCTTTTGGATATTCTTTTTTTTTTTACAAAATGATTGACAGTATTTAACGCACATATATTCGTATCTGAGTATATGTGTACATATCATTTTGTAAACACTTTAATTGAATGAATTTTTGAAGGCAGATATATGCATTTAAATTTCAGGAAGAGGCATTAAACATTATTCTTTTTTAAACTGTGAATTAAACAATACCGTAGATATGATTCAAAATACTTAGGAATACTGAGCAATGAAGATTTATTAAGAGCATTAATGGTTTTTAGTGTAGCCATGCTAATACACGTTGAATATCATAAAAGGTGCTCCGTTTTTATCATACCAATGTTAGACAAATAATGTGACTCAAATTTTTCGTACTACATATTATTTTCATGTTTTCATTTTTCATTGCTCTTCCTCAGATATTCTGATACAGTGCGTTTATACACGTATGAATCCTATTTGTACCAAAATGCAGTGTACTATATCAACAAATGTGTACATGTGATGATCTATTAATAATATGTTGTTATATATATATTTATTCTTTCTCTTCTCTGTTACGCTTGTCACTCATATAGATCGACTAATTTTTTAATTAACATGTAATAATACATTACCTTTTTACATCGATAAGAAGTTTGTTTCTATCAAATAAGCTAAGTAATAAAAGTAAGTCTATGAAATGCTCAATAACGTATATCTATTAATGACGAGTTTCAAGAACTGTTTTATTTTGTTCCGAAATTATATATATAATATTTTACAAATAACGATCACATTCATTATTAGTAGATTATCTCTTGTACAGTGATATTACTTTGTGAAAACAACTTATGGGATGTAAAATGGAAAAGTATTATAATATATTAAAAATTTAATAATTTTGACATTTAATAAAAAAAATTCTCAGACAAATTTGCTACAATGTTCTAATTTTAAATACACGCATCAATTTTTAAATATATCATGAATTCTTTTTATTATTTCTCGTCGCAAATCGGCGATTCGCTCCAATGTCCATCCGCTTTACACGTGATTAGACCCTGTTTTTTACCGTTAGGACATACATAAGTCAATTGATCTTGATACAAGTATGAACGACCATGCACAGTAACTCCAGGTGGAAGTTTGGGTTTGTTACATGAGAGTTCTGTAAATATTGATAAATGGTAAAATGCAATGTACTACATGTTACAGAATCTTGTACTTACTTGTACATTTACTGTACACTCTGGACCATTTTCCATTTGCAAGACATCTTGCATTTGGTTGCCCAAACATCAAATATCCAGGCAAACATTGATAAGTGATCATATTACCAAATGAAAAATATGCTGATTTAACACTATCTTCTTTTAACATTGCATTTGCAAGTGTTGGTGGTTTCCCACATGTTACAGCTAAAATGAATAATAGTTGCTCAATCATTTTATATAACAGTTATTAAATGTATGTCCTACAATAACAACTTTTTTCTTACGTTTACAAGAAGGGATAGCAGACCATGTGTTGTTTGGGAGACAGACAGATTCTTCATTACCTTCTAGAGTACTACCATGACGGCATTTGAAAGTAATGGTACTGTTTATAGTTCTTGAATAATTATTACTATTCCCAACTATGTATCCATGTTCTGGAACCTGTCAGCACTGCAGTCTTAGTTTCTTTGATCAGTGTTCAATGTCCTTAAAAATAAATTTATCAAAATGATCATATATCTATAATACTTACTCTGGCTAAAGGGCACATCAATTCTTGACAAATATCCCCAATTTTATTGTCTAATAAATTTTCAATAATGCTTTCATTTAATTTTAAATATTTGAGTTCCCATTTTCCATCCTCATTGCAAAACCATGTTAAATTGGAAATATATTCATTAATATTTCCATCTGCTACTTTGATTCTAACATTGTTTTTGCAGGTGAGAATTATTTTCTTCATGTAAGTATAGCCCTCCACAAAATATTTTAAATTCCTGTAGGATTCATTGTAATGTTTTTCATTGTCTCTTTTTTTACTTTGATTGTTCGAAATTCTTTCTTCGTTAAAACGTCGCAAAAGTGGATGATCTAGAACGGGACATTCACGAGGTTCGCAAGACGCGAACTTTGACGACCATTCTTCTTTATCAGTGCAAGTTCTAACGTCATCTCCAATTAGTTTATAGCCTGCGTCGCATTTTATTAGAATTTGCGACCCAACGAGGAACTGTTTCTCTGTCTCTTCTTTTCCTCTTTCTTTCGTTGTGATTTCTTCATTTGTTACATTAGAAAGTTCGATTGTATCGTCTTGGAATTTCAATAATATTTTGCCTTTATTTACAATACCGGGCCAAGGACATTTTAAGGCCACGCAATCGGGAACGAATCCACTCCAAGTACCATTCTCTGTGCACTGAAGTCTAAATTCAGCCAACAAATTATGGTTACCCTGAAATTTGTACCCTAAATGACAAGAATATGCAACGATATCATCAAAATAGTAGCTCCTGTCGAGACTGTTATTGGTTGTCTGTAAGTTGAGGCTTGTGGCAGAAGTATCGTGCAGATTGTTCGAACCGGAAAACGTTGAGTACCCATGTTTGATTCTGAGTAAATACAGAAATAAAATTTATTCAATGTTTCTGAAAACAGTGCAATTCACATTCGATTGCAAATGTACAGAAAGCATACTCTTTTGGTGGTGGGCACCCATAAGCCGCACAAGATGGTCTCTCGTGATCCCATATTCCTGATTCTAAGCACGTTAGAAATTGCTCCCCTACTAGACGAAATCCGTGGTCGCATTTGAACTCGAGCTGCTGTCCAACCTGAAGTAAAATTTAGTAAAAAATCTTGATTTCATTTAATTATGTGTCCACCAATGAAGTGAAATAATTGGATATTAACATGGATATGTTTTTGTTATGCATTTATAGAAGCTTAGTTTCCCTCTTCCGTTCTTTCCCTTCGCTTATCGTCGCCTGCTTTTCATTCATTTTTATAATTTACAATTTGTAAAACAAGTAACAAGGCTAAATAAGAAAATCATTATAGAGCGTATATAATACAACGAGACAATTAATTCTCCTTATTAATTAACTCTAATAAGACTACATTCGATAATCGATAAGTTAAATATACGAGTTGTTATTTACAGTTCTACGAAAAAAATATATGAAGCAATTGAAGTAAAATATCCTTTAAACGTTACTGTATTCATACGTACCCGTATTATTTTAGATTATATAATATAAATTATATAAAAAAATGTTTAAATATTTATTCGAATTAAAAGCCATCTAGCGGCGAATAAACCGAACTAAAATTCCGACCTCCGTACAGCGCACCACCGGGAAAACGCCTAAGCTTGTCCTCGAATAGTTCCTATTTGTAACGCTAGATGGCGCCATTAATTTTATTTTTTACCGACACCTGTAGGTAAGTTACCATAATGTCGATACATTACCATACTGTCGGTAAAAAACAATGTAAGCAGCGCCATCTAACGTTAAAAATAGGAACTATTCGAGGACAAGCTTGGGCGTTTTTCCGGTGGTGCGCTGTACGGAGGTCGAGATTTTAATTCTGTCTATTCACCGCTAGATGGCCATTTAGTGCACTGTGGAAACGCGCGAATAAAGACTGTAATTTGAATTAATCATGCGAACATTAATTACTTCTAACATGTTTTATCCATTTATTAAATAATTATGGAAACGATCAACCACGTAATAATATTACTTCAATGTATTTTAAAGCTTTACGTGTATATTGGAACAAGAAAAGCATTTCCAAGTCACAATTTAGTAAATGTAGTATGCATAAACGAATTTTTAACATCATCGATAAAATATTAAAATTAATATTGAGATAATCGTTCAAATAGTTTCAGCTGAATATCTTTTTAATACGAATCGATTTGTAAGTTTATTAGTACTGAAAAGGCATAATTTATTCAACCTACATAACAAATTCACATACATTTAAACACAAGGGATTACCACTTAATTCGTTACTTTTCAAAGTTATCAATCGTTTAAAATTCTCACTGCAAATCTGATTATAAATTTTCTTAATTACATCGGTAAAAAAAAACGTAACAATGAACGTACCTGCAAAATCGAAAGATCGTCCCTTTCGTATTCTTCTATTACGTACTCAATGTCTCCGTTTTCTGGAGCCAGCAAATTCTTGCACGTTCTCCCTGTCGCAAAAAAATGGTAAAAATATGTTAAGTAAATGTTACTTTCTGGATAATAGAATATACTATGACAGTGAGAAATCAGAATCTTCACCTATGCAGACTGGAGGTCGTCCACTCCACTTCCCGTCGGCATTACAAATTCTACGAGGATTTCCTCGGAGTTCGTAACCGGTCAAACACACGTAATTTATTTCATCGCCAAAGGAGTATGACCTTCCCTGGACACGACCTCGTGGAAAGTATCCCGGAAAGCCACATTTTCTTCCTTGAATAAAAATTACTGTTATCGCCGAGGGTTGAATGAAGAGAATTTAGTTATTTAATAAATTAAAATTTAATAAATTATTTAATAAATGAAATGTGAAGAATAATTCTCAAAAGGAGCTCTTTTCTTAACGTGGGATTGTTTGAATATTCTTACGCCTAGGGAATAATTTTATGAATGCAAATGTAATGTATTTAGTTTTCAGTATAATCTTCGTAAAGTTCCACATAGATTTTCTCATAGAAATGCCTGAAAATATGATGTAATTCAAGAAATATTTTAAGATTTTTCTGTACAATGGTTAGTAATAGCTACAGGAATTTCTTCGAATTTGAAAGGATGTACAAATTCTGACGATCTTTCCACTTCTTCATTCAAATCAAACATTGTCGGGACTTTGGTTGAAAAATTAAATAGGGACAGTGAAAGAGCTCATTTTATGGACTATTTTCTTGTTTCATTCATCACAATATAGTTATTTAAAATAAGTAATCATTGTAAGGATTGCTTGGTTGTTCAAAATAAATAAATTCTCGTATACTTGTGTCCTTGTAAGTATTTTTGCCCTTGTGCGACGATATTTCTGCGAATTAACATACTAAAGAGACAAACTGTATCAATCACATAAAATTTACTATTAGGTTGTCCCAAAAGTTTCTTTCGCTTTGTTAATAAGTAATACATGCACAATATTTTATGCTTTATGTTACATTACTGAATCGTGCACGATTCATTTTGCTCCGTTACTATTACAACATGAATATCTATGAAATTAGATTGTCTATTATATATAAACACGACCACATAAAATAATTGAGTGTAACTCGCGAAAGAAACTTTCGGGACAACCTAATATTTCAAACAATAATCGAAAATATTAATTAGGTGACCACATATTTATCTCAAATTTCAACAATTTTTATTTGACGTGTTCCTTCAAGGTGCAGAATAAAAAAAGGTTTCTCATCTTACTGACGCAAACCGGTGTATAGTAGCCTTCCCATTGTCCTTGTTTAAGGCACTTGACTTTCAAAGCCCGATACTCCTTGCCGCGAAATCGCACCAGGTAACCGTTGTCGCAGTAATAAGTAATCTCGGACGAGTCTTCGGTGACGTTTAGTTTACCTTTAAACGGTACAACTGGTAAGGGACAACCGCGGCAAAACGGGCTGCTTAATATCTAAGAACGTGAAATGCTTCGTAGAGTCTTCGCGAAAGTATGAAGAATACGATGTTATAGAAAATAAAAAAGAATTCACAATTACCGCAACGTCGCCGCGCACATGCTCTTGCATCTGTGACCAGGCGATTACGTTGCCGTGGTATTTTTCGCAGGTACTGAATAAACGTTTCACGTCCTCCGCTGTTAAAACTGTGCTCCAAATGTCCAGCAATGTTAATTTACCCAGGAAGGATTCTGATTCGGAAAACCCGCCTCCGACGCGGTCTTGTTCTTGTCCTATGACGAAGGTTCCGTTACCTAATCGCAAATAATATTATTTTGCGATTTAAAGTAACAGGGATTCACGTTACTTTATAAAATTCAATTATTGTATATTCTCTGTATCGGAATTCAAACTTTAGTTTAATTTTGTATCTTGGAACTTTGTTTCAATTTTCTAATATGTTTTATGTTTTAATCGCATATGCAGAGACGGACAACAAATTCTTATTTAAACATTTTATAGACACTTTGAATAATGAGTAAAAGATACGCGACTACTCACCTACTAGTTATTAAATTCAAATTAGAATTTGAATTATAAAATGAATTCGAATAAAATTAGAATAAAAATTAGTCTAGCACGCGATATTAGGATAAGTAGTTGTCAATTAAAAGTCATTGAGGTCTCAAAAATGTATGACTAAACTGAAAATGTAAATGATTCATTAATAAATACTAATACATATTTTACCTAAGAATAAACCTAAACTAGCTTCCTTAATAACAAATTATTACCTTGAACGGTGCTACGTTTCGCCAAGCGAGTTCCATTGTCTCTCAAAAATCCATCCATGAACGCATTCCAAGAACCATTTCCGTTTTCCCAAGTGATGCATATGAAATGCCAGTAGCCATCGTTTACTTTAATGTCCGTCACCACTTTCTGTCCATTGATGTATATTACAAGTCTACAAAATTAAAATGTTAATGTATCCTTGCTACAAGTGAAAGCTGTGTTTCATTTTTCTCACGAGGAATATTTTATTACCCGTTATAGTCGGTTAAAGTAAAAGCGTTGTCATAATGTCGTGTAGCGTATGACAACACCGTGCCATAATTAAATGTGTCCTTTGATTGCAGCCACAAGCATACTGTTAACTAAGAATTTATATTTAGATGAAATTGAAATAAATCGGGAAGATGTTTAAACAATATTAGGTCAAAGTTTTAGAATTAAATCGAGTTTTTCATTTATATTTCATTCATTATTGGATATTATAGTTTGTCGGTAAAAACAATTTCAATGATAAACATATACGGGAATGTTATCATTTGTTCAGCTAGATTCAACTGTTTTAGAAACGCGAATAAAGCTGCACAAAAATAAAAGCTAAAATGACGATTCATTCTAAGATTTCTGGTAGACATTTGAAAGTATAGTTTGTTAAACAAGGTTTGCGGAAAATATCTCGTTGTTCATACTAAACCAATATCTACATTGTTTATGAATTTCTAATAAAACAACCAACGTGATATTTAACAATAAAGAATAATAATTGCTTGTCACTTAGCACCTATTATTCCATTTCATTTATTTATCTACATGATTTACTACCTCCAAAAGGTTCACCGCAGAACCTTTCATACTGGCGTAGTCTGTCGTCCCCGATTTGGTGAAGTGCATCACGTAATCGGATGACAATTCTGTAAATAGACGCGCCTTTGAAGAAATAGAGAAAGAAAGTCGACAGAAAAGATCATAGTTTCGCATATATGAGGTGATAGAATCTACAGAGTGTCCAATAATTTGTGGTATATACAGAATAATAATTAAAGGAACTAAATTTTAATGAAATTTAAGTGAAAGTAAAACATTGTCTATTTCATATCGACGCTTGAACTATCGGTTATCAGACATCCTGTATTGATTAAGACTGTACTTACCAGTCTCGCAATTCCGCCCTGTAAATGGTACAGGACACGTGCAAGTGTAATTACTAATTTCATCGTGGCATTTTCCATTGTTCCTACATGGAAGGCTTCTACAGTGATTCACAGGCATCGAACAATTTTCTCCAGTGTAGCCATCCATACATTCGCATCTAATGAATCGTGAAAAACCGATATTTTAAGACTGTGTATTATGGTACACAGTATTTTTAGTTTCAATTTTTGAACAAACTGAAACTTATTACGTTAAATATAAATTAATATAAATACGATGAAAATGAAAATATAAATAAATATAAATAAATCTACCACTTTACTTATATTTTCACTATTCTTTGTACATAATTTTTATCAAAATATCTCTTATCGCTAAAACAATCAAAATTTTAAAGTCGAGTAAGATTAAACAATAAATTTTATCCTTGAAAACAAGTTTGCAAGATTGTAACTTTTATTACCTTTCCTTTCCAGACTGGTTAAAAATCACTTTTCGGACATTAATTTATTCCAAGAACCAACTATCGATTTAAACATATAATATACGTAACATTCGACAAATGTGTGGATATTAAGAAAAATGATACAAAAAGTGTATAGCACCTACCTTTTTACCTATAATTATTCAAAATTCACCTGTAACTCATCCGTGTCGCGTTTTCCTCTTCAATGTTCACGCAGTATGAATTCCCACGACAGGGGACCCAATCGCAAGGCAGTAAATTGCAATGACGACCCAAAAAACCACGTCTGCAGAAACACTGCCAGGTTTCGTTCACGGTGCGACAGGTGGATCCCTCCAAGCAATGTGAATGATCACAGTGATCCACAGCGATTTCGCAGAACTCCCCTGTACAACATGTTTCGATGAATCTCGAGATTCATTAGTACAATTATTAACCCTTACTCCTTAAACCAGGTTCATTCGAAAAGTAGAAATATTTCATTTGAAGTTATTCTTAAAATGCTTCATTCTAAACTTGATTTGGAACGTTCAAAGAGTGCTTACAAATTTTTTCAGATTTTTCAAAAGACTTTTCCACAATGAAAAACCGTGTCGAAAATGACTGACCCTGGTTTACGATTCGAGGTAATCGGAGAAACATTCACGGAGTAAGGGTTAATTAATTGATACTCGTTAAACTATTAACAGATCCACCTTCGAAGCCCTCCTTGCATTCGCAGCTATAATCTATTCCAGTACTCGTGCAGGTGCCATTGTTTTGGCAAGGATTTACAGCGCATTCGTCGACGTGTATCTGCGAGACATAACATCACTTGTTAGTAGAATTTCATCCGTGTTGTTTGGATAGATGGCTGTTTTACCTCGCAATTGCTTCCCGAATATTCACTGTTGCAAACGCAAGCGTAAGTTATGTTACTCGGGAGCCCATGAACGCTGCATGATCCTTCGTGGAGGCATGGCGAAGAATCGCACGGACTTCGAAACGTCTCGCATTTTGAACCTAATTAGATTTAAATGATAATTATACAATAGGATACTTGATGCTTCAAATTGGCAAAAAGAAATATGAACAAAGACAGTATTCGTACAATGATCAATTTCGAACGTAACTTTATAAAATTGTATTGAAATAATTAATTTTCATAAACAATGCATTTGTACATGCCCTTGGATATATAGAATAGATACAGTGCAAGAAGAGTAGTTACTTGAATAATTTATATAATTATTAAGAAAAAAGTGGATGCGCGGAATGCCATATATTAGAAGTGTAACTTCTTAGATACGATGGTGAAATTTTATTAATTCGTCCCAGATATTTAGATGATAGACACACCCCTTCTCCAAAGCGCAGAGTCCACCGTGGACTTTTAATTTTATCAGAAAAAGGAAGAATGTATTGCATACTAACCGACATAGTACTTGGGACACTCGCAACCGAAGCCGTCTTCTTCTTGTACGCACTGTGCACCATTGAAACAAGATTCCGACTCGCAACCATCACCTTCGATTTGAAACGCTGATAGACACTTATTTATGTCATCGGTCCCGCGATTTTTCGTAGTGGTATTAAACGGGCATGACAGGCAAAGGGTTTGCCCATATTCTGGTTGATAGAATCCGATATCGCACATTAAGCAAGGTTCGAGAGCTGAACGTGTGCCATGATAGCGTTTCTTTCGAGAGTAATATCCTGGCCTACATAGACCTAAATGAAAATGGATAATATTAATATGTATATTACTTATGATTCAGTAGAAACTCTCTATTGTTCTATTATCTGGTTACATTGTATGAAAGAGATTAAAAATTTGATATTAAAGAAAGTTTCTCGAAAAAGAAATATCAATTTTTAGCGACGGTACATTGCATACGTTTATTATTACAGTATATGTTTCATTCTAAATTGATGGCTTGTTTGACGATATAAACTATATATCGTTGATTTTCTGAATAATTTATGACAGTCTTTTATTTTCAAAAATAATTATAGAAAAGTTGTTTCTCGAAATAATCTTGGACTGAATAATAAAATTAAAAACTTTAGATAAAGGAAATGATTCTTTTTAAAAAGTATGAAGTTTAAAAAATATATATAACCTGCCACTGTTGGTCATCATTTGATCAAATTGTTTACAAACGATATTTACTATAAAAGTAGATTTAAATATTGGACAACACTTACCTATGCAATCGCGCAGAGATTTTGCATGCATTCTTTTCGTGGAGGTGTGCTCTGGACAACGTTTGCATTTTAAAGATCCGCTAGTGTCCTCGTATTCCCCAAGAGGACAAGGATGGCATCGTTCACTCGAAGAATTGAAAAACGTGCCCAACGGACATTTCACTGCAATTAGAAAAACCTATCGATACAGTGTTAACGAATTATGATATCAAGAAAGCACTACGACCGATTTTATTCACCACAAGTGTGCTTCTTCAGAACGCTTCCTGGCTCGCAAAGTTCCTGAAAATTCTTGAAAACGAGGTGCAGATTCAGCGCGAGCTTCGCGATTTCTTGATTCGTTTTGTTATTCAACAAATCTAGTTTTCCGGATTGGCTCATCGACTCTATTTTCTGTCTTAATTTTTGAACACCTTCTCGGGGGTTTTCAACATTTTCCTCGATTATCTTTCCTGCAAAAAGTAACTTAGAATAAGTACTTACTCTGAAAAATAAGCTATTTTTATCTGAAGATGACCATCTTCTTAATCGAAAACTATTATATTACTCAAACGCGTTTTAATTGAATACAATGAACACATCTACTTTATCTACAATTCTTTTCAAACATTTCACACATGTCTTTTAACTCACCTAAAAATTTGAATTTTATTTCTATTTTCTCCTTCCTTTTCTTCATTTTTACTTTGTTTCTATCTACATTGTCACCCACTTTAGCGTCTCCTTTTGATATCTTATTGGTCGTTGTTAAATTATTAAATAACTTGACAGCAAGATCTCTTCGTTTTCTTAGTACGTTTGATTGAGTGTCCGATAATAGTACGCTCTCCTCGCATTCAGGATCGAATGTAATGATATTGCACTCGACATCGTTTCCACAAATATCGAGCAATGTCGATCTTAAATTGGCAGTGATATGTTCGCTCAACTAATTGAAATAATAATAAGATAAAGTATGTTCATGTTTTACTGTGCGCAAAAGTATAAATGATGTTTTCTGTAGTTAATTATACAAACAGAGAATTAATATTTACTTCACGAAGAGTCGTTAAGTTGTCGCATACGATCGTTGTATTTCCTTCCAACACGATGCTTCCTTCTTGAGAAACAGCTTTTGGTGGAGTTGATTCTACAGGGAGACACATAAAGAAAAGAATTTCATTAATTAGAAGTCTTCATTGTAGAATAATGATTTTACGTTAAGAAGATCATTTACAAATTGGAAAAACAGCTTGATAAACATGGAATTTTTAATAATTATTTGTCCACAGTTTTATAGAGGTAGGAAGGACTATTTTTCAATCATAGTATGTTGCTTGAAAAAATTATATACGTACATAATTTTATACATAAATTATTTTCATAAATAAATAATAGCTTATTGGAAACTAAATTCAAAATGAATCCTTTAATTTCACAATAACGATAACATTGAAATATTATTGCAATATTTACGAAATACCTTGTAGAGACAATTTTATTATCCTAAGCATAGTGTTTACATATTGATAATTTGTACTGAATTAAAATTGCTATAAGCGACGCACCCGCACAATCAGGAATGTAACTCTCTTCTGTCCAATTCGAAGTGCTCGTGTTGCATTTTAATTGCAACACATCTTCCACAATTCGAAGATTTGGAACTTCGTCTCCAAATCCAAATCCTTCTTCGCACTCCACGGTACATTCGCTAGTCTCATTTACGGACGTCGAGGAACAATTTGAATAACCGTTCAGCACCGCTGGAATTTCTTGACATATGTCTGCCAATAAAAAACTAATTAATTGAAGATTAAAACAGTCCAGAATATTACTTTATTTAATCAACATTTCGACCCAAGTCCCAAGTACCTGTTAAAGTATTTTAATAAGTTTTAATTTCAATTTTTAATTACTGTTCGTGAAATTAATTATTAAATTTGTTTACTTTGTCGGGTATTTAAATAATATGTTTAGTACCTTTTACAGTGACGTTCAGCACGCAACTCGCTTTATTATCATACTTATCGATCGCATCGTACGTCACTTTTGTTAATCCGATTGGGAACATGCTTTCTCCAGGACGATAGTTTTGCTCCACTCGCACTGGAGCTTTTGAGTTATCGTAGTAACCAGGTTCATCCCAAGTTACGTTACTTATACCGATTCCATTATCAGTGTAGAACACTGGGGGATCTATGCAATTTTCGATCATCGGCGGTTCTGTGTCTGAAAGCAAGTAACAGGTGCTTAGAAGTGTTTAGCAAGATTTGGGAGAAATATTTCAATTTATAGAGGGACATTTATCTTTGTTTATTTTATACAATTTGACTTTTATATGCTTGTACTTTTAAAAAGACGTGCTCTGAGATGACACAGTAGATTCTTCAGATTTTTGTAAAAGTTTGTTGCAGGTACTCCATTGTGTTTAATACATTTAAAAAAATATTACACATAGGTACTCTTCATTTACGGTGATCAGATAAATCAGACTGTGCTATTTACGTATCGCTGGAATTTATTATTAATGTTATATTGTTTCAGCCAGCTGTTAATCTCCTCTTTTAGAGAACCTTTTATAAAAGCATAACTAGGAACACGATCCCATACATACGAATCTGTGTACCTAGACAATTTACTGCACTAAACTCACCAAGAACTTTGACTTTGAATTTGCATTTGGCTTTATTCCCAGTTGAATCCTGCGCCACGTATATCACAGTACGCGTGCCGATTTTCACTTTCCAAGGAAACGTGACGTAAGGTTTACTCCAGAAAATTGGAAACTCGTCAGCGTTGTCAGACACGGTTGGTGTTGTCCAATTAACGTACGCGTAATTCTTTTTTGGTAAGCTCTGCGTGACGATGTCTGGCGGACATGTTATCGAGGGTGGCGTTTTATCTACGAAGAAAATTAATTACACTCAACTAAAGTTTCAGTTTCATCTACGAAACCAGCTTTAGAATATAAATAAATTATTTCTTTAATCCTTTCGCTCCGATTGTTTACTATTTAAATTATATTCGTTGCTCTTTCACGAGTTTATTGTAATAAACTAGGGTTGATTATAATTCAAAAGGTATAGCCAGATAAGAAGGGAGAATTTGTCACAGCGCAAATGATGCTTATTGTTTGAAACATATATTCCTGAGAGCTTCAATTGTAATTCGACCAACGACAATCAGACATTTATTAGGGCATATATGTTCCACTAGGGTCAAAAGGTTAATCTATAAATAGAAAAAGCAAACATATAAAAAAAAAGTATTCGTTATAGTTCCTGTAAACCATATTGGATAATAAATATAGAAATTATCGTGTTCAACAAGAATTACGAGATTCAAGAGTCTTACTTCCATCGTCCATATTCTAACATTGTAAACGAGAGAAATAACTGTACAACCTGTGCAACGATTAACACTTCGTCGTTGGGACCAGACCCCAGAACGTCCTCCGCATTGTCGGCTACGTGGGCCTTCGAGCACGAAACCTTCCTTGCAGCTTATCGTACAATTTGTAGCGAATGGCACCTTCTCTGGCCCAGAACAACTTTCAGGGAAAATTTTTCCATTCGCGATTCGCTTCAGCGGTTCGCACGTTATTGCTGCAAATATAAAATGAAGAGCAAGTGTAACTATAATGATAGTGGATGCATTTATTGTGTGTTTTAAACTACAACCAACTGTTTCTTGTCATCTTTGAAACTATTCATATAGGATAGAGTACGTGAAAAATATACTACTTTATATTTAAATACAGAAATATTTATTTAATATAATATTAAAATACCATATAAATATATATATATTATTTATTTAATTTATATAATTTATATATATAAATAATTTACAATTTTCTTATCACACTACTCTATTTGGTTTCATTATAATTATTTGCTATTAAAAAAGAAAAATAGTAACACAGAATTATAGATGCAAATTGCATATATGATTTTTAAGTTGTTCACCTTTGCAAGTCGCTTTGAGGCCATCCCACTGCGACAAAGGCAGACAATTGCGAATTTTACTCCCACGAAGCTGATAACCGTTATTGCATCTGAATTGGCAACGAGCGTCGATCGGATACGCTGTGAAATTTTCTGTAACACTCAAATGCTGATCCTCTTCGTTCTGACATCGCATTCGACCGTGTGTCGGGACTCGGAGGGCTGGACAAGTTTTCACTGTTCAAACATAAGAACACAATTGTTCAAACACAATTTGACAATTAGCTCAAAATAACATTTGGAAATGTGGATGGATGGACTGAATCAATTCACGATTAGATTTTTTTAAATCAGTAATAGAAATTATAAAGAATTATGAAGATAAAATTTTATAGCATTATATACAGTGAAATGTCGACAAAGTATCATCACATTTGAATCCACAATTTTTTCATTGTATCGAAAGTTATTAAATACGTATTTACAATTATTCGATAGGACTCACGTAGACATTTTGGTTCGTTTCCAGACCAACTGCCATCCTTTCCACAAAGTCGAATACTGTCACCTGTGAGGTAAAAACCAATTCTGCACCTTATGCCACAGGCAGCATGAACGACATTGCTGCATGCTCCAGCTTTTACCAAGTATCCATTTTCTGGTATCTTTAATTTGGGACATGTTATAACTGCAAACAATCAAAAAGAAAAATTTTAGCAAGATATTTATATGAAATGTAGATATATAAGATACTTTTATAAGACTTAAGGCATTTCGGAAGGTACCAAGCATTCCAAGAGATACTACGTGTTTCACAACTTGTCGTTTATTAAATCGTACCTGCAACAAGGAATACAGTGCCTCGTATTAATATTCGGACACTATAGTACTTTATTCATTATTGCAATGTACACCTGACCATAATTCAGTTTATACATTGTAATAATGAATAAAGTACTACAGTGTCCGAATATTAATACGAGTCACTGTAAGTTCAAGTACAACGATTAATAAATATTGTCCACTATTTGGGAAGCGATTGCATTTTTCTGCATTAATAGAACTTATTTCTAGAGTTTTGAAAATTTCTGCAATAGTTGCGTCTTTTAACAAATGTCAAAGCATTCGAAATTCGAAGTAAAAATGAAAAAAAAAACAACTAAACAGTCAACATATTAAAATATGAAATTTTTTAAAAAAGGCAAGCTAAAGAGTATGATCAATAAATATTTCTTATACTCGGTACGCGTTGTTTATAAAACTTGAAGACGTCTTTAAACCTGCTTAACGATGGTTAACTTCACTGTAAACGAATACAAATTTATTTTGGAGAAAAGGCGTACTTAACGAACAAAATAATGGACCCGCGTTGCAACAAACCTCGCGATTTCGTTGCTGCCACAAAAAATTTAACCGAAGGAATACAAAAACAGAGGCATCTGCAAATGAAATGGTTTCAGACGTACGAATGGTTATTGGACGAACAACAGTATGTACATCGATTAGGTTTTTAATACAGGGTACTTATAAAATAAACGATCAAACTTTATAAACATGGATTCATTAAATAAAAATACTAAATAAATTAGATTAACTAATCATTGCTAATATCTATTAAATGATATAAATTAGTTAGAGTAGATAAAGTCAGTCAATGTTATTTAGTTTATATTGACATTTATTGATCCACACATTTTTACATAATTGAAATAATACTAATCGAATAATTGATTATGTAGAAAATTGAAAAAAGAACTGGAGGAGCTTTGCAAGGAAAAGGAGACGGTAATCAAGACAGAAACGTTTGTTCGAGAAGAGGGGAAGACGTGCTTACCATTTCCGGTTACCACGAGTGCTGAGGTATTAATGAATGAAATTTATTTAAATTAACTAAAACTTAATTTTTACATTTAATTACGGTTAAGTTAACGTCCACAATCTACTTGTAAGCCTTCCTTTTTCAATATTCTTAAATATAATGAAATAAAAATGAAAAATTATCAGAACCATCGACAATGTCTAAAATTGAATATTTCCACAGTATGGCTGGCTTGCAAGTAAACCAAAATTCAAATTGGAAAAATACGGATCCTACATGCCAGAGTACCCTGATCCCCTCCGCGACATAGTGCCCTTATCTGGAAACATACCTGTCCTCGCTGCCGGCAAAGGCTACATTTGGTAGCCAGCAACAAATCAAATTATCGAGATAGTTAAACGAGACTATAATAAGCAATGTGCATTTGCAATTTATTACCTTCGCATTTGGTTCCGTCCGTTGTAAATCCTGATGCGCAGACACAATGCTCCACCGAAGTAGCAGGTACTTTGATGGTCACATGATTGGCATCAGGGCACGATATGCACGTGGACGTAGAATCGCCAGATATTTCTTCAGAAGCGTACGTACCGTTTGGACAAGCTGAAAAAGAATACAAAATAAGTAATGAGTTGATGCATAATTATCTGGCGTTTTTTTTAAATTTTACAATATTAGTCCAAGATCTGAACATGCAAATGCACTCAGAATATGGTAGAGTGATTATTCTGAAGCATATTCGAAGTGTACTTCAAGAACAGCTTTCCATTTGCTTAGCATTCGCTTTCACTAATTGTTTCTCGGTTAAATAAATTGTTTAGATCACGAAACGACTGTGCTGTCTTTCGCAAAGCGGTAGATCATGATATAACGCAAATGAATATGATTACCGACGCTCATGTTAATGAACCACTTCCTGACAAAAATTTTGTACCAATCAAAATGAACGTTACTGTTCAAGGTTGTTTCGTAAAAATAAAGGGTTTCCCAGAAGGAACTTTAGAATCTTGAATTTTAATAAAACATAAATGGTATGAAATGTGTCTAATTTATATAACATTAATATATATAAATATGAATGAACTCACAATGGCAGGATCCTTTGAAACCGGAGCCAAAGTATCCAGTGGGACAGATGCAAGCATAATGACCTGTTGTGATTCCACAAGCACATGTCGCGAAATTATCGCAACAACCCTCCTCTATTTCAACCTCGCTGACATTCTTGCACAGGAGATCGCAATTATCCGGGACTGTCACGGGTATATACTTGCCTGTTCTTAAATCTATGAAAAATTCAAACGAGACTTTAATGTCATTTGATATCAGTGATCTCTTAACTCTCTAACTCTTAACTGAACCGTCAACTTCAATTAACATATCCAATCATGCACAATACAAAATCACCAAATTGTAATTATTACTAATTTTAACAGTTCTTAAAATTGTTTCACCCCAACGCTCTCTCAATCACGCATATTTATAAGACAACATGTTCTAAGACTTCTAAGACTCACCACGATGCAATGCTCGCCGCGCAAGGGCTTCGAATTCGGCGAAACTGTCTAGGAAATAACTATGCGAGAATCCAGGGATGCTGGCTATATCGTGAAGTTCCTGGACGTTGCCCGTTCGTATTCCAAAAGTGAATATTGTCGCGCCTACACTTTTTAAAAGGTTCGCCGCGGGTCGTGGATCTCCACCGTTGCTGAACCCGTCGGTTATGAGAAACACTGCTTTCACCGCGTTCTCTCGGCCTTTCTCGAGAATCCTCTAACGAAACATTTGTTCAAACACTTTGAAAGTTAGATCGAAAAACAGTTTAAGCAATCGTAGTAGAAGAAATACAGTGAATCCTGTCTAAGAGACGCTGAACGGAATCCCAGCCTCATCGTCAAGTCTTTGTTAGTTCAATATTCACTGTAAGTATCTGCAACTTCTTTTATATAAATGAATGATATTATATACAAGAGGTTTTTAATGCATATGTGATTCAATATTCTTTTAGAATATATGAGAATTTCCAAACTCTTCTACACTATTATAGAAAAATAAAAGAATTGTTTATGAAAACAGAAATAGAGAGACTAGTACACTACACTAACTACCAGAATTAGTATTAAGTTAACAACCACATTAAACTTATAAGCCTTCCTATGTCAATATATGTATATGCATGTTTCTTTCACTTTTATATTTAGTGGAATTCATATGTATATACATTTACATGAATTCTTTCAGAAGTTTATATATGCATACACATAAGGAAATTTTTATGCAAATGAATATAAAACGAAGGCACCTAAATAAACTTTTCTCTCTACTGTAAAACAAATTTTGTTTAGAATCACTAGAGTACCATTAATTTTATTTATTCAATACTCGATTGCAGAATGAAAGAAAAATTCAAAAGAAAAATTAATGAACAACGTGACAGAAAGAGAGAAAGAACGCTTACAAGTGCTTCCAGGAGAGCGCCACGCGTGTAAGTTCCACCGCCGGTGTAGGTAATGTTGTTTAATTGTTTATTCAACAAATAACACTTGTGGTCGTTGTCACCAGTTCGTGATATCTGATCGACGTTGCGTCTGATGTTCCTCCTTCCGCCAAATGTTACAATCGCAATTCTGGTAGCCGAGGGTTCCACGATAAAGTCGGACAAAAGGTTTTTCACAAAGTTCAATTCGCTTTGGAAATTTTTCAGACCGACAGATCCCGAGGCGTCGACGAGGAACACCAACTCGACCTGACAAACATTTCGCACGTGTTTTCAATTGATTCTGGTAGTTTTAGTACAAATACGTTGAGCTCGATATTTTTAGTATTAAACAGAGTACATTTAAATAAGCTACAAAAAAAAAACTAAACATCCCCGTTTACTAACGAATAATGTAGCACCTAATGCTCTAAAAAAATTCAACAGCCTGAGTCTACGGATTACCTGGTCGGTTTGGCTCTTCAATCTATCGATATGAATTTTAAAAAGTCGCGACAGAGTGTCGGCCTTGTTTTTGAACAATCTCTTGGCGTTCTCCAAACTCGCTGACAGTTCGCGCCAATCTGCGCTTCTCTTTTCTCCAAAATTAAAGGAGAAGGGTGTCGTCGTATTTCCATCGGTCATTTCGACGTTCAACCCCACGTCGAATGGAGCAACATTGTTCAGAGATGAAACAAAGATAAAAAATCGGGACAACAGTCCAACTAATATGCATTTCTTGGCAATCAGACAAACCATGTTCGCAGTTCGCATTCACGATTCGAAGAAAATACTTTCAGGGCATAATTCACGGGATTAGAATCCGTTAACCGAGCCTTCAGAGAACGGAACCCTTCTGCACCAATGAATTTAACACAGCGGTTCAAACGCAAAACGATTACGATGTCCATTCGGTCAGATCTCGATGGCAGTCTCTTTTGCGTCGACGTTTACACATATCTTTGACAGTTTCCATAGATCCTACGCATTTCTTTCGAACTCATGGTCCATCTGTCAGATGGATATTTTAAAACGATTGTCCCTTGCCATCGACGATACGAGAAACACACAACGAGTTGTTAGAACCGTGTGCAACGAAGGCAACTTGTCGTTTTATGAGTTGTTTCGAAGAACGCACTGTTTGCGGCGAAACATCGGGAGATCGACTGTCAATATATTGAGACAAACTGCTACTGCTTCGCGGAGGATCGCGTAAAAGAACATCCGAGCTTGTATCCGAGCACTGAATAGTTGAGAACAAGGGACTCTCTGTTCTGTCTATACTGTGCGCACGTGTTCATTCTCATCGACTGATCTCGACGAATGTATGATTTATTAAGGGGGCAGTATGCTACTTTGGGCAGAAATTTAAGGATTCTTAGCGATTCCTCTTTTTTTTTTTTTTTTATAAAGAAATAATCGAATCTGTGTAAATGGTTGTAGATTCAAGGCACCATACTATTTTAACCCTTTTAGTTAAAGGGTTACTTTTCGAAAAAAAATATTTGTTGATCAAATGATTCAAAAATCTCGACGGATGTATGATTTATTAAAGGGACAGCATGTTACTTTGAGCAGAAAATTGTGGATTCTGTACAATTCCTTTACTTTATAAATAAATAATTTAATCTGTGTAACTGGTTGTAGATTCAAAGCATCATACATCATAACGTACATAAATTAATATGAAGATAAAGAAATTAATATTAACGATACGACTTAAGAAGGTACAAAGATGGAATATAAATTATGAAAAAATTGAAATGTCTATACAAAAAATAAGATACAGAACATACATTCAATTGTTTATAAATATTCATTCTCCTCGACTAAGGATGGGGTCGTTGGTTTAAGAACAGACTGGCTATTAGTTGACAATGTACTGTCACAGATAAATCGTATGTAACATCTAATAGAACTTCTTCCAAGAAATTATTGATTACTTAACAAATTGACATAATATTGACCTTTTATCTCCCACTAAGAAAAATAACGAGTTATCTGACATTCTGTACGAGCAGTTAATTTTCAGTTATTCTAGCTTAGATTATGATTTTCGAAAAATGAGGATGGCTACAAGATCTAGTGAAATAAATCAAGGTCAGTTGTGACAAATAGTGTAACATGACAACTAATAGATAACAGCACGCGCGAATGTATTTCTTCAGCTAAACATTCGGTTGCCATGTTTAGTGACTAAAAGTGAATTTCTTCGACTGTTTTTTTTTTTTATACATAACTCATTACTACGTAGAGGTGTGTAGGTAGCCATTATCTTCATAAACAGTTCAGGCATTTCCTGTCTATCGAAATTAATTTAAGAACTTAGAAGTATAGTAATTTAGCCTTTCTTGAATTACAGCTATAAACGACTTAATGTAAAGGCACGGAATCAATGTTTACACCTAATAGTTTAACACGTCCGGCATTATGTGTAAAAAGTCTAACTAAAATTCTTAAAAAACACCTTCTCTTTTTTTTTGTGAGCACGCTAATAACGCCTTAAAAGTTTCACGCGTTCATATAAAGTATTCAGTTCAAAATCAAAGTGAATCGATAGTCTTCCATCCAGGATATGTCACTGTAACGGGACGTTGTGCGAAGAACTCGTTCGACAGCTCACCAACGTGTGTACGATAACGTTCGAGGAAGGGTGTCGTGTTTATGTCACGTGTAGGAGGGATGTTGAACCGTGATCCGCAGCAGCAGTAGCGTCAGCTAGCAAGAAACCGAGGTCAGAAAAATGCTACCACTTTCCTTCTGACCCGCGCGCATATCGCGTCGATCATTTTTCTCCACGGATATCGGTAGACCACGCGCGCGCATCAGCCACCCGCGATTACACGATGATCTAGAGTTCTCCGTTCACCACGGACCTCGTTCTTGCCTTTTCTGACCAGTTTATCGGCTCCACGGTCCAGATAACGCTCGTCAAAATAAATCTGTGCGGTTTGTGTCGCGTGTCGCAAGTCTCGTTAATCGCGTCCACGATTCTCAGCTTCCTCGTTTCTTACGTTTCGCTCTCGTACTTCGCCGACGATTTCTGCCGAGAGATTCTTCAGTGGAAAGTTGTGTTCGCCAGTAGGAAGAAACGATGTCGATCTTAGAGCTCACTGCGTCAAGAAGACAACACGCTGGTCCAATACGCAGTCTACGATATCCGATAGCGATCTCGACGGCGTTACTGATAATCGTTGCGATCTCTGGATGCTTCGCCGACGAAGAAGAACAGTCTCCGCGTGCTACCCAATTCATTCCTTATTTACATGGACTGAATGTCCCCGAAGACGACACAGGATACGAGCAATGTCGTTCCACGAATATGTGGAGGAGCCTGTTGGGACGCGTGAACGTGTTCGCGTTCTTGGACCCTTCTTGGCACTACAGCTATAGGCAGGCAATCATGTGAGTCGCTTCTAGTCAATCAACGTGTACATTCTGACGATAGTTTTGCTTACTAATGTGTAATAAAATAGAGGGTGAGTCACGCGATTCGCGCGGCTCGTATCTCCGCGCGATATGGAAAACAATAATTAATATGTGGGAGATGCTCGAGAGATAATTGGAAAACAATAACTTCTTACTATTCTTGGTAATCCGAGCAGTTTACTTTTACTCGCGTTCGATTGGATTCGCGTTGAAGTAAACGTTTCCAGTCTTGATCTCGGGATTGTATGAACGGAACAAATTTTGTAAAAGATTAGGGCTACAATAAGAATATAATTAGTAGATGTAATGCGAGGACCAAGGGAAATATTTTTAAAAACGCGAGTAAGAAGTAAAATACTAAAATTCTTTCAGAGATGTAAACAAAAATGTAAACAGTGGATGGCACTTAATGTTTTTTCAGAAACTAAATATCTCGAAAATTATGAATCTTAGGATAGATGTACCTTAATCATTTTGTTCTCAATATTCATTACTTTTTGGAATTCTGTCATACAATAAGTTCTTCAAATTTCCTCCACGCCAACCGTATCTCCCCCAATGCTCCACAAATATTGTACACATTACTTGTACCTCTCTTCGATAGATTAAAAGTTAATAGTGGGCCGTATGTTGAATTGATTACGTTTCTCTTGATAGATAAATAAACAAATAAATAAATATAGTTAGTTAAATCGTTTATTTGGGTGTGAAGTTATTACAATTTGGCCTATAGCACCTCTTGATCCAGTCTTTACATTTATACATATGTGTAAATTATCGTAATATAAACAAATATAAAAATATCCTTTCATATCCTTAAACGTATCCTTTCGTTTCATCGCGAAAGTCTCTCAAGAAGAAATAAAGTTTCATGAAATGAAATCCATTGACGTTGTTCTCTGCAAGGTTGGAGATGCTGAAGAAACGATTAGACAGATCCAATTTTACTGACATCTTGTTCTTCGTCGTGAGTCCGCCGACGAATTTACCAGAAGACAGCTCGGAGATAAAGGCGTGGAAAGACATATCCAAGTCGGACGTTACAAAATCGGAATCATTTTGGGGTGCAGAAGAAACTCATTTCGATGACTTTGCGAAAAGCAGCGAGAACAGCTCAAAAATGATTTTTCTTCAGGATACTTTCGAGTTGGGTATCTGGCAAAATTTTCATGCCTTCAAGGACGAAGTGGCGGTCATCGATCGGTAAGTCATCTTCGATATTTATCTTTTTTTTTTTGTACTTATTTAATCAACTTTGTCTACTGTAATAAAATGAAAACAAATCTAGAATATTCGTTGAATTCACCCTATTTTTTTTTTGTTTATTTTTTTATTTTATTGAGAAGTCGTTAGAACGAATGAAAGTTGTTTTATAAGACGAACTAATTGAAATGCACAATATAATAACTAGAAACAATTACTTTGACAACAATAACATTCAGTATCGAAACGTGATCGTTTCGATATCACAATCGTTTAATTTATTTATCCTCACGGTGATTTAGATATGTTTTATCACGAATTCTGTAAATGAAGTCGTCATTGAACAATCGATTTATTTTTATATAACTTACTTTAGACACAACGCAAAATGTTTTTCTTACAGTTGTGGTCGATTGACATACCAAGTAATTATACCGTGGAGTATACTATACTTTCCTTACGTTAAAGCAGCCATTCTTTCCACGTATAAAGAAGAACCATGCGGCCCATGCAACGTAAGCATGTTTTAAACATATCTCTACAGCAAGAACACAGTGACTATATAACAAATTATTTAATAGAAAATGTAAAAGATTGATTTGTTTCTATGGTGAATAGGAAAAACCATCTTCAGTACACAATTCACTGGATTACGAGAAGTATCTATTTCGAAATATAAATCCGAACGAAGAAGAAACTAATCAAAACTTTGATACATATTATGCAAAACAAGAATTCGACTTGGAAGCAGAGAGTATCACTATGTTTGCAGAGGACTTAAATCAAACCGAGGACAATGAAAATGCAAGCACCGTCATTTCTTTTGATCTGTATCTAAATACAAATGATATCACCACTTCTCCGATCGCAATAACTGATGCACCACTAGTGGAAGCAGAAGTGTTTCGCATATTTAATGAGAGAAATCAGTCAGCTGGGATGTCAACGGAAAGAACGAACGATGATGAGGATGCGAGAAGCAATGATGCTTCTGCTGGTAACAAAAGTGAACCAACAACAGAAGTTTTTTCACATCAAGAAGAAACTCAAACGTCGTCTGTAATTTCAAACTTAGAGACAACTGAAGATTATAATAAAATACAGGGTCACTCTTCCTCAGAAAAACGAATATATGACACGGTTACAGATGCAGCAAGAAGTTACCAAGTTCATCAAAGTGTCATGGATGAGAATTTGAGGAACAAGAAGAAAGAAGAGATTTTTTCAGTCGGTAGTAATAATGATACATTTTTTAATAAGGAGTCTCTTAAAATTACACGAATATCTAACAATTCATTTGTTAATTATTTGACGAATTCGTATAAGAATAATTATTGAATAATAAACGTATAAACATACGTAACAGCCAGAAAACCCGAATCTATAAATGAATTATCATTTTAATCATGTCGTTATTTTTCAGATCATAAAACTCTGATACCAGATGTTGAGAACAAGGAAATACACGATCAAAAAGCCGAGGATTTGCCTTTACGTATAATATTGTATTCTCCACATTTACACCAGGAGGATCAAACAGTGAAGCAATACACGCATTTGGTTCTGAAAGCAGGAAGTCCTAATTATCATGAACACTTTAACAGCATGAGTAAAAATTACAATCAGCGGGTAATATACTTTTATTAAATGTTACAAATCTATCTTAACAAAATATTATATTAACTCTTTATAACTATTACAAAAATATAAGCCAGCGGCATCGGAAACATCAGATGCAACAGTAGAAAGTAAAAATTTACGTACATTTATAAGCGGTGTAAACGAAAGTCCAGGAGTATACGGTGAAATTTCGGATTATTGGAGATTTACCGAAGACGATGAGCTCAACGATAGAAGTAATAATATAGCATTTTTGGAACAAGATGATACCACGGTAATAATTCCTAAAGTATTTTCTTGCAAATTGAGCCTTTCAACTACAAACTATTCGATACGTACAAAATGTAATCCATATCTTTATAAAACATTTTTAGGCTAAAAACACAGAGAATAACAATGACAATGCTTCCGATGTTGAAAGTGATACATTAAAACCGAGTGTTGTAGATGCAGACTCGGACATGAGCATTAACAATAATGCCGATTCCGACGATGTTATGCAACATAAAATAACTGAACATTACAGTAAACTGGTGCCATGGATTATTTATATTCTCTCATAGGTCAATAAATAAATAAGTCATATTTATTTTAGGAGTGTATTTTATTAAAAACATAACGTATACACTATACATGTTTACACGAATAGCTCTAAGAACCATATACAATACATTATTGTAAAACAGACACGAAACAGAATCTTATTTGTATGTTATTTCGATGGACCTATAGAAATTTAATTGTAAAAACCGAGTAGTATCATTGTAAATTTTATAAATACTTTCATACATCTGTATATATAAATACGAATATTTGTGTGAACATACAAAATACAGTTAGAAACTTTTATTTGTACACTATAAGTAAATTAAAGCGTTTTAAACATATTACTGTTGGAGATGTTCGTTGGTGGTAAATCTTCGCTAAGATAAACACGTAAAAACATCAAATTTGTATATAATAGGTAAACATTAAATGCATACATTTTTCATTCACTCTGGTTCACTTGCATCATCAGAGTCTAAATGACTACTATTGCTTGTAGTACTAGTACTCGAAGTACTACGTTTTGTATCGGACTCTGAATCTGTATCGCTGCTGTCGCTTGAAGTTTCCGAATCGGACTCTGAGTCTGTGTCGCTGCTGTCGCTTGAACTCGAGCTACTCGATAACCTGGGTAAAACATTAGTAATATATAAATTATATAAAATAATAAATTCTATATTTTTTTTTAGTGTGCATCTTTCGCCATGCGAGGTGTGCAAACATAGTGGCAAATTGTTATTGCTACACATCATTGACGTTGGATTTGCAGATTGATGTTTAAATAATTCTTCAAAGAGAAGTGCATTTTTAGTTAGTGTATTACATTAGCATTTCTTAAATGAACGTCCACAATATATATAAATATTCCATTCAACCATTAAGGTGTAAACGATTAAGCCTTGTTAAGTAACAGAGTTATTAATATTCAAAACAATTCTATTGAAATACTTACACATACTTTAAAGAATGTTTATCATGAATGTAGTATATAGTCTTTAGCCTTTAAAATAAAATTATAAAACGTACAGACATATAGTATTCTTAATTAATTTTGGTTTGAATAATACACAACGAATTTTTTAGGTTATACTTACTTATCTTTATCGTTGTTATTAATAGTTAATTCATCTAATTGGTCCATCATCTCATGAACAAAATTTTCTATAATGAGATCTTCTGTAACCGAATAAGCTGCTTGTTCTAACTCTACTAAATCAAATCCCATTTCTTCCTTAGTTGGTTGAATCTTGGGAAGAACACGTGTATCTTAGTATTATTCTAAATCTTGTTCATCAGTAATTATATACTTACATCAGTTATTAGCAAGTCCAATGATTCTATCAGAGATTCCTGAATTTGTTGTAGCCAAACTAAATAATCTTTTATATACAGTTGATTTAATATATACCGTGGTTCGCACGAATTATTGAACAAACTATGTATTTCACAAAAACGTTTAATGATATACTTTTTACCTAATAAGGAAACATATAAAATATAAAATAAAAGAAATAGGTTTAGTAAATGTTACTTCACTTTTTACTTACCCAATTTAATAACCTTCTTCACATCCTCAAAAACTTTTATAGACAGATTCCAATTTCTATATAGCGGATAACACAATGACCTTCTAAAACATGCTATTACAACTTCTTTTGGGTCCGTGAAATCCTAGAAATGTTACAAAGATGTAACATGACACGGTTCAAATTAATGTCAGCATATCTAGAGAAACTGTGCATACCTCAAACCAAGATAAAGTAGAACTTAATTTAGCAATAGTCCAACTGCTTTCAACTGTACTTTCTCCCAATGTTGTTCTATGATTGTAACAACTACCAAATAAAATATCAACTAAACTTAAAAGTAACTTGTGTGTTTCTTTATTGCTTAATAAGTACTCTTTATTTGGAAGTTCTTTTAATAAGTCAACTTCTGAATCATTCAATGAAATACTTTCTTTTTCCAAGGTATCCCATTCTGCTGTAAATGATATGTATGGTTTTATATACTCTGGTTGCATAAGATCTGCTAAATAATGCTCTTCATTAAAATCTGAAAGTTCTCTTTTTTCTCGTAAATTTCTCCGTTTAGCCTGAGGTGTTGTATCAGGCATTGGAAGATCTATTATTTCTTGAATCCATGCCACCTATAATTTAAAAAAATATAGATTATAACTGATTCTCATAGAACAAAATGATATATAACTATTACAGTTTAAACTATATACCTCAAAAGCTACTAAAGCTTCAGATACTTTATTTGCAAAACCATATTTCGGGGAACCAGTTAAAAGAGGAATAATTTCTGTAGGATTATTTTGGTCTATATACCACTCATCTCCATTTGTGTTTTCATTATCTACTGTGGAATCATGCTCATTTGAACTGTCATTAATATCTTCTGAATTAGCTGATGGATTTCCAATTACTTCAATATTGGGAACAATTGTATTTTTCTTTTTTGGTGGTGCTAACAATGTAGTTATCATGTCTAAATTTTCAAAATATTCCCCTTTTGTCACTTTTGTGAATCTCAAAGAGAAATCTCCTTTTTCCCAATCATATGATCCAAAAGACATGTCATTTTCCTCAATTTCGCCAGGAAGTTTTAACCTGAAATAAACAACTTGGTAGTGGAAAAACTTCATAGTATTTAAAATAAACACTTTACCTTAAATAATATGGTGTGGAATAAAATCTAAAATCTGATCCATCAACATAAACTTCTGTATCTTTAACATTGGCATATGGTGCATGAATTATTATTGTCACTTCCGCATCGGTTTGTGTTATTTCAAACCGTGGTGTCAACATTTTTACAAAAACTGATTACAAGTTGTACTTCTGTTAAGTACAATAATATTTTATACTTATGCAAAAATAAACTGTCCGGTGAACATAAAATAACAATGTACCAATATAGACATTGGAATGTAACATGTATTAGTAAATGTTTTTCGGATATTTATATACTACAAGGTATGAGTTTTTTTATTATAATTCCGCAAAAATTACATTTACAATATTACTATGATAACCGAATAAAACCTCTACAACATTTCACATACAATTTCATACACGTAAATTACATTTCAAAATGTTAAATTCATTTGATTTGATCGATTTGTTATTACGATGACGTTCCAGATGATGTTCTCGCCACTGCACTCCACTATACTAAATTAGTATAGTTAAATGGGTTTAATATTAGTGGTGCCATCGGCGGAAACATGCCTAAGTTTGTAATGAAAATAGTTCCCGCTATTTCTGTAAGATAACGTTACTAAGTTAAGTTTTTGTATTTATTACTGCATGTACATATAAGGAATCAGGCAAATGTTTAAACATTATATTGAAATCATGTATGACAGTGTTATAAAGCAAAGAATCGTTTGAATTACAGAATATTTGATTAAAGGTATCAGTTTTACCATCTTACAGAAACAGTGGGACTATTTTCACTAAAAACTTGGGCGTTTTCCCACTAATGGCGCCAGTAGTACTAAAACTAAATTAGTATAATTCACTCGTGAACAATCGACGTTACTATCGATTTTCGATTAGTCGAGAATCGACCAATTTTCCGCGTCAGTATTCATATTGTCAATATCATTCAAAATTGGTGAAATACCATGTGGTGGAAACTTCATAACCTAAATTGTCTGTAACTTGTTCACCGGGGGAACATTGTTTTGAAAATGCAGGATGTCATTAATGTGACTTATATAGATTAAGTACCTTATACAAATAACATTTTATTTTGTTTAGCAAAAGTATATTACAGGTACGAATAAAATATTTGTTTGTTATTTTTGAAAAATACATTTTTCTGTTAGGTGTTAACATGTTTGTCAGAATTATAGATATGTCGATTTTGTTTTAGATATCTAAAAAAGTGAAACGTTTATAAAAATGGCACAGAATAAATATCGTGCACCACGTTTAACTCCAAAGCATTTAGATCCAAAATGTTTAATGTTTTCTATGTTCACTGCAAATGACATAAGGAATTTAAGTGTTACTAAAATAAGGACACCTTTATCATTTAATATATTAGGACATCCACTGAAAGGAGGATTATATGATCCAGCACTAGGTAAATAAATAACTGTTTGAGTATAAATTATTATAAATAATGTTAGCTATAACTTACAAATATTATACTGTAATGACTTATCAATTTTCCAATTATATGAGACAAATTAGATCCAGTAATTTATATATTTTATTCTATACATTAGGTCCCCTTATAGAAAGTTCAGATCCATGTGGAACATGTGGATGCAATGTATACAAATGTCCAGGTCACTTTGGACATATAGAATTACCTATGCCAGTTGTGAATCCTTTGTTTCATAAAGGATTGTACACATTGCTTAAACTAACATGCTTAAGCTGTTATCTTATGCACATTCCAGCTTACGTAAAGCTATTGTTAGGTGCAAAACTGAGATTACTTCAGCAAGGATTTCTTAGTGATGTAGATGGTTTGGAGCAAGAAGTAATGGTTGTTGTTTCCAATTCGAGCAATCCTTATGAAGTTGATCTGCAATCTGTTCAAAATATTATTGATAATTATACAGAGAATCTTATTAATCAATTAAGATTCAATCAGTCAATTATACCATACAATGAAATTCAATTAAATACAAAAAATATCAATATGCAGTGGCACACATACGTAGAAAAGATTCTCAAGCAATATGTACCACCAAAAATTTGTGTAAATTGTCATCAACCTATACCAAAAATCACAACATTAAAGAATAAAATTATGACAACTAAAGTGCCTAATACAGTCCCTGAAAAGGTACATTCACGTGGAGTTGTTCATAAATTAGAAACAGTTATGATAATGCCAGATCAGTCTAAGGATTTTCTCAGAAAACTCTGGGAAAATGAGAAAGATTTTCTCAAAGTAATTATTCCTTGTTTTGGAACAGTAGACATTGAATTTCCAACCGACATATTTTTCTTTGAAGTAATACCAGTTCTACCACCAATAGTTAGGCCAGTTAATTTTGTTAATGGCCAAATGATCGAGCACCCGCAATCGCAAGTGTACAAAAGTATTATTCAAGACTGTCTTGTTCTTAGAAATATTATTCAGACAATTCAAGATGGAGATACAAATCAATTACCAGAAGAGGGTAAGCTTGTTTTTGAGCAAATAAAAGGTAATACAGCAATTGAAAAGTTGCACAATGCTTGGCAAAGTTTACAAGTAAATGTAGATCACTTAATGGATCGCGATTTGAATAAAACAGCGGACTCTGCAAATTGCCAAGGATTAAAACAAGTTATAGAAAAAAAGGAAGGAGTGATTAGAATGCATATGATGGGTAAAAGAGTCAACTTTGCAGCTCGTTCGGTTATTACACCTGACCCTAACTTGAACATAGATGAAATTGGCATTCCTGAAACCTTTGCTCTAAAATTAACATATCCAGTACCTGTTACACCTTGGAATGTTGTACACTTAAGACAGTTAGTTTTGAATGGTCCTGATGTCCACCCTGGCGCGGTAATGGTTGAGAATGAAGATGGAAGCATACAACGTATTTCTACTAGCGATACTGTACAAAGGGAAGCTATTGCAAAACGTCTTTTAACGACAAGTGATAAAGCAAACAAGTTTTTTAAGGGTATTAAAATTATACACAGGCATTTACAAAATGGGGATGTTTTATTACTGAATCGTCAACCGACATTACACAAGCCTAGTATAATGGCCCATAAAGCACGTATTTTAAAAGGAGAAAAAACACTACGTCTTCATTATGCTAACTGCAAAGCTTACAATGCAGATTTTGATGGTGATGAAATGAATGCACATTTTCCTCAAAATGAACTAGCTAGAAGTGAAGGATACAATATAGCAAATGTATCCAATCAGTATCTTGTGCCTAAAGATGGTACACCATTAAGTGGTCTTATTCAAGATCATGTGATTTCTGGTGTTCGTTTAACAGTAAGGGGAATGTTTTTTTCTCGCGAAGATTATATGCAATTAGTCTATGCTGCTTTGTCTACGATGCAGGAAAATATAATACTCCTTCCTCCTTCCATTATAAAACCGATACCTTTGTGGTCTGGCAAACAGATCATATCCACTATTATTATTAATATTATTCCATTAAATAGAGCTCGTATAAATTTAACATCAAAGGCAAAGATCAGTGTAAAAGAATGGCAAGTTAAGAAAGCGCGGCGTTGGAAATGCGGTACTGAATTCTCAGATCCTGCAATGATGTCAGAAGCTGAAGTTATTATACGAAATGGAGAATTACTGTGTGGTGTACTTGATAAAACACATTATGGTGCGACTCCGTTTGGTCTTATACATTGTGTCTTTGAACTGTATGGTGGATCATGCTCTACAAAATTATTAAGTGCCTTTGGTAAACTGTTTCAATCTGGGTTGCAAAGAAACGGATTTACACTTGGCATTGAAGATATCTTATTGTTAAGAGAAGCAGACACTAAACGTAAAGAAATTATTTCCAACTGTAGAAAGATTGGAGGAGATATTCACAGATCGATACTAGAATTACCCGATGATACACCAATGGAAGTAGTTACAGCTAAAATGGAAGAATCTTTTTGGCATAATCCTAAGTTTCGTGCACAAGTCGATCGAAAGTATAAAAGTGCATTAGATGTTTACACTAATGATATAAATAAAACATGTTTACCAGCTGGCCTTTTAAAAAAATTTCCAGGTAATAATTTACAATTAATGGTTCAATCGGGTGCAAAGGGTTCTACTGTAAATACTATGCAAATATCATGTTTACTTGGTCAAATTGAGTTGGAAGGAAAAAGGCCTCCTTTAATGATCAGTGGAAAAAGTCTTCCAAGTTTTCCTGCATATGATCCAACACCAAGATCTGGTGGTTTTATTGATGGTCGATTCATGACTGGTATTAAACCTCAAGAATTTTTCTTTCATTGTATGGCTGGTCGTGAAGGTCTTATTGATACTGCTGTAAAAACCAGTAGATCAGGATATTTACAACGTTGTCTTATTAAGCACCTTGAAGGGTTAGCTATTAATTATGATTCGACGGTACGCGACTCAGACGGTAGTTTAGTACAAATTTATTATGGAGAAGATGGACTTGATATACCAGGCTCAAAATTTCTAACAAAAGAACAGATAAGTTTCTTAATAGATAATAAAAATGCTATTGTTAACGAAGAGATGGTTAAAAATCTGAAGCAGGATTCAAATACAGCAAACATCTTGAAATTATCGAAAAAAATAAAGAAATGGATAAGCAAAAATGGACACGCATTACAGAAAAGTAGAGTCAGTCCATTTACGAGATTTTCTATGGAAAATAAGAACATTAAGAGTTCAAAATTTAAGATAATTGATGAAAATAGTGGACGAAGTAAAGCTGCACTTTCACTTATGAGAAAATGGATAAGAACTACTGAAGAAGATAGAAAACTTATTTATGCTCAATGTACCAAGTGTCCTGAACCAGTAATAGCAAAATACAGACAAGACATAGATTTTGGTGTACTCTCAGAACGATTAGAGAATTTAATAGATGAGTACACAGCTAATAAATCTAAAAATTCTTCGATAAGAAAGAGTGATTTAAGAGATCTTGTGTCCATGAAAATAATGAAAACTGTTTGTCCACCTGGTGAACCTGTAGGTTTATTAGCAGCACAATCAATAGGAGAACCTTCGACTCAGATGACTTTAAATACTTTTCATTTTGCTGGTCGTGGAGAGATGAATGTTACATTGGGTATACCTAGGTTACGCGAAATACTTATGATGGCATCCAAAAACATTAAAACACCTAGCATGGAAATACCATTTAGAAAAGATGTAAAAAATGTAACAAAACGTTCAAACAAGCTGAGACTAAAGCTAACCAAATGTACTTTATCAAACGTTTTAAATGATATTACAATAAATCGGAATTTGGAACAAGAGCCAAATAGACGATTGCTATATACTATGACTGTCAAGTATCTTCCCCACAAATCCTACAAAGGAGAATTTTGTGTACAACCACATGAAATACTAAAAACGACAGAAGAAGTATTTTTCAAGGAAATGTTTAAAGAAATTAAGAAAGTTGCAAAAGTAACTGGTGCCTTATTACATGTTGAAGAAGAAAGGAAATCTATGTATGAAGATGATGCTTTATTAGATCAAGTTGAGCCAGATGAAGGGACAGAATCTGCAGTGAAAGCACGAACAAACTTAGGAGAATTGCATGAATCTTCAGATGAAGATGAAATAGCAGAGGATGCAGATGCAACGTTGTCGCGATCAATTTCTCGTCATAAAGAAAATCAAGAGTACGAAGATCCAGAAGAAGAGGAAATAGATGATACAATCGACAAAGATGATAATCTTATGGAAAATGACAATGAACAGTCCAAGAATAACGAACAAGAGGAAGAAGATGATGAAATAGATAATAAAAAAGTAGGGTATGGTGCAAATGAAACATTTAATATGAAAAGAAAATTAGATGTTACAAATATGTATGTTCATGGAGTGGCATATGACTTTGATGAAGATAAATATTCATGGTCCAAATTAACATTTTGGGTAAGTACTATAAGAAATTAAAGTTATTTTTTATAAGTTATTTCTAACTATATCTTCTTGAGATATACATATTATGATTTTTATTTTTCAGTTACCGCTTAAAATGATAAAATTAGATTTATCAACGATAATTAGAAATGTGGCAAATAGAGTTGTTTTAACAGAGGTGCCATGCATAAAACGTGCTTTTACATTTCAAAATAATAGTGGAGATACTATTCTCAAAACTGATGGCATAAACATAATAGTAAGTGTAAATTTTATATATTTGATCAGTTCATATTAACTATATATCTTTCTGTATTATAGGAAATGTTTAAACACGACAAATTATTGGATTTGAATAAATTGTATTCCAATGACATTTATGGTATTTCCCAAACGTATGGTATCGAAGCTGCTAATAGAGTAATTGTAAGAGAAGTCAGAGATGTGTTCAAAATGTATGGTATCACAGTTGATTCCCGCCATTTATTATTAATTGCGGATTACATGACTTTCGATGGCAGATTTCAACCTCTTAGTCGCAAAGGAATGGAAGACTCGGCTTCTCCTTTGCAGCAAATGAGCTTTGAAAGTTCCTTGAATTTCTTAAAAAATGCTACATTGCAAGGTAAGAAAAAAAATACATGTCGAATTGAGTAGCCTCCTCCTTTTTGAAGTCGGTTAAAAACAAAATTTAATTTGGAGCACTTTTTTATGAAAAACGAATAGTTATAGAAGATCTTTGAACGCATGAATTTTTTTCACAGGAAAACGGGATAACTTAGTATCTCCCTCTAGCCGATTAATGCTAGGTCAACCATGTAAGTCCGGTACTGGAGCATGTTCACTATTAGTGAAAATACAAAAACAACCAGAGTCCACTTTGTCAGTAGGTGCATAACTATAGAAATAGGAAATATATTAAATGATATTGTTTTATAGTGGAAACAATGAATTAATTGTACACAATCATGTAAATAAATTCAATTTTTAATAATAAACTTTTATATCCTATCTTTTTTACACTACTAGAACATAATAAAATGGAAATAATTATATCGTGCATAAACGTTTATAAGCTGATTATATTTTATTTTGCAACAAAATATGTATAATAAAACTGACAATGTATTATCAAAAAATTCTCTGTTTTCTTCAATTTTTCGTACAAGTAAAACACAACATTGCCTTTAGCAGTCGTCTGATTTTTAAAGTCTCTATCAAGTAGTGCCAATTAATAAACAATTCTGCTTAAAAATATTCATATTCAAATCGATTATTCACTTGTGCTGTAGAATTGTGCTTTTGAGTTTTTCATAGTTAGCACCAGAGAAACTCTCCACCTGAAATAAATTTTAAATGTCAATTCTTAACTGCTCTTCTTGTTGATTTAACATAGATGTTAATTTAAAAGCATACCTGTTTGCCATTTTTAAGTAATATAAAGGTAGGCATACTGGTGATTTTATATTTCTCTGCAACATCTTCACATTCGTCTACATCTACTTTCAAAAACACAACATCTGGCATTTCCTATTTAAAAAAAAAAATACGATTTAATAAAAAAAAAGTACTTAATTTTCCAAATAGGGATATTTTTATATAAAAAAAATTATCTAACCTTTGACAACTCCTCAATTTTAGGTGCAATCATCTTGCAAGGACCACACCATGTAGCATAGAAGTCAATTACAATTAACTTATCTCCAGCTGATGCGAGCTTGCTCTCTAGATCTTCCTGTAAATGTAACAAATATTATTTTCTATATCTGAATATAGAAAAAATAATATAAATTTCCAATAATAAACTTCTAAGAATAAAATTCAACATTATAAGAAAAATGTTTCCCATAACACTTAATATAGTAAGAACTTTAAAGATCAATCATATGATTTAAAATCAATAAATCATGGTACAGTGACATTTAATTATTGGGTGTTATGCGCATATATATCATCGCCGATTGCAGGCAGTTTCTATCAATTTGATAGAGTAAATTAGACGCTCGCTAAAATTAACGCGTACCATGTTTTTTACCGTCATTGGCAACTCTGAATAACGAACGCAAGTAAAAATACAAGATGCTTATTTATCATTCGTACGTAATTATCAGAGAAGAAAAGACGAGATATTTCGTAATCTGTAGCAAAGATAATTAAATCTAGATAAAATCTCGAAAGATCGGGTCAGAGACAAACTTACGATCCGTTAACTTTTCAGTAAAAAGTACAATATGAATATTGAAATGAAATTCAACTTCGCGTCGAACGAATAACTACGGTGTTTTCATTCATAGTTTATAATTTCGAATAAAATTTCGCCCATCTGCCGGGAAATGATGCGTTACAACGTGGCGCTCGTTAAAAACCATCTGCTCGCAGAATCTCGGTTGAAATGCATGCGTGAATACGGCAAATAATTTCAATGTCCCGGTCTACGTTTATGCATAATTGAAATTGTTTATCGTTGACGTAATCGCTACACGAACGCCACACTCGACGATGATCAACGTAAATGTTCAACGGCGCTTTGCGCCGGCACGACTCGTAATCGCAATTACACACGTTCCAAATGGAACCTTTCCATTGTAATAGAAGGAAAATTCCTTGCGGTCCTCGCAGGCGGGAATTAATTCTTTCAAGGTCAACCAGTTTCACAGAAAGCGCAATTCTATGAACCGTATTATGGCCGAAATTCAATCATCGATTTACTCTACTTTCGAAGACAATTAGCATAGTCATTATCAAAGTCCAAGAATATCGAGTGTGGAGTACGGGAATGTTAGCACGAATACGAAACCAAAAATGTAATAATAGTTGTCGTTACTCACAGCGTTCTCAACATGGATAGCCATTTTTATTCCGTCTAGGAACAGAGTTTATCTAGGTATAAGCACAAGTAGCAACGTGTCAACCGTTCAGAGACTTCGTTAACGACTGAGCTTGGACTGAGCGCTGTGACGGTGAGCGTGAATCTTTCGGTAGTCGTTTCTCCCCTCTCGCGCTCAATCTTCCATGTTTTCCCTTCTCCTCTTTTAATACTTAGATGGAGATACTATGTTTTCTCGCTTCAATACTTGAGTGCTTTGGGTGGTGTCGGGATCGACTTCGACCGCATGGTTAGGCCAATAATGCGCCAACGACGCATTATGCTTCTATGGGTCCCACCACAAAATGGAATTCGAAGGCCCCATTTCAAGAGAAGACGAACAAAGAATTTTCTTTAATCCGATTTCTCTCTCTTGGAGCAACAAAAATAAATTACGTAACACGAGAGACATGTCTGACAGTAATTTAGAAATAATACACATTCCTGCACCTAATGTAATTTGGACTTTTCTTATCTAAGGGAATTTTTGGTGTTTCCACCCTAGTGTCTTAGGTGTCTTTTCTGTTTTTCTCTGTACGTCTTACGAACTAAATAACGAAGATGAGTTACCTCGAATGTTCGAAAAAAAATCAATTTCTTCATTGTAGATAATATCTTAAAAGTTACATCAGCGAAATTGATTTACTTGAAACTTTCAGAGTATCTTCTTTTTATACTACATTAAAGAACTATACGAACTATAGTAGTCATGACATTTTGCTTATTATAATAAAATATATTCTAATGGCCATCAGGTTGACACTTAGGTTATTTACCTATGTATATTCATTATAGAGATGGCTTCACAGAGATTAAGTTGAGTACTTGCAAGACTAGTAGTTTAATCTAACAAAATGATAAGTAAGTATTTCTACTTCAAGCTAGAGTTATAAATGATTGAACAATTAATGTTAGCATATTCCGTCTTGAAAAGTAAATGATCAATCAGTCAAGATTTTATATATTTCGACTGTGTCAAAAGCATAAAGGTATAGAGACCCCATACGTAATTACTAGTGCCTACAAAAATTGAACCTAAATAGGAATTTATTTTATTCTGCAAGTATTATAACATGAACTTTACTTTCAATCTTTGTTATATTCTTGGATATTGTATGCATTTTGTAGTTTCTTGGACATTCAAATTTGCTATAAATGCATAAAGATCCGCAGTCTAGTAATTACGTGTAGACTCTACATGTCTATGGTCGAAAGCGAAATGGAAGCTGATGGAAGCTCATGGCTCACAATCTCACATCCGCCTCCTTGTCCATCTACCCGAACTTACTCGAAGCTTCAAGTTCGTGTATACTCGGTTTGAATTTGTGCGTACGTGGAAGGGGAAATTTTCTGTGATAACCGTCCCCAATCTGTCATTGTAACTATGAACAACTATGAATCATAGCACTGGTTACGTACCGTTCATACCTCGCATCATAGTTACGATGACTCGCGAACATCTCCGAATGCCTAAACCATATCGTGGTTCGCAGTAGCTTATATTGCAATGAGGAAGTGCACACGTGATCGCAAAGGAAACTCAATAAATTCGACGAATGCGTGGTGTGCACGTTTCGTAGTTTACATTGCATCTGATATTGCACATTTATATCGATTTCAACAAATTTTTTACTCTAGTCACTCCACGTATTTTTCTATTTATCAATCATAATTGATAAGATGCTACGTAGATATACCCTACACTTATGCAATATTTGAAATGATAGCCTGCCTTTTTTTCTTTTACTCATGTCGAGTATTTACTTTTGTATTTTGAAAGCGAAACCGTATCGGAATATACTTAAATATAATCCATACCTGAATTCATCCATTTATGATTGTACTTAAACATGAGATACGAGTATAAGTAAAAAATATATATGGATATATATATATGGCACGCGAAGCGATAGATACATACGTATCATCAGAGTTAGACAGAATGTAACTTGATTTCATTTCTACGGTTATGACTATAAAGTAATGGTACAATAATAACACGAAAATTAATCCGATACGTGATATTACACGATACTTGTGTGGTATCGTGATAAGTGTGACCAGATTACATTTTGCTCTGATCTTCCTATTTGCAAAATTGATTCCGACAACTAGTTTCGAGGTTTCTCAGAAATGCTTTCTCGAATAAGTAACCTTGGCATCAAAATAGTATGACTCACGTACATAACTATATACAATCGATCAATATGAAACAAGGACAGTTTGTATTACTTCCTTCATTTAAGAAATGTACGTACAGTTTACGTGTACCATTTAAAAGAATTGCTTTTTATATGATTCATTATTTCTCGAAACATTTGAATGTAACCAATCTTAATAAATATTTTTAGAAGTGAACAAACATGACGAACGAAAGTCGAGTGACACATAAAATATAATTAAAACGCTGATCGAAAATGATTTCATTCATGAAATTGTGATGTCATACAATTTTCTTGTTGGACGGCGACATTTTCAAGTAATTTGTAAACGTACTATGCTTGTCGACGTAATCGTATCACGTTTACTATTGGTAATATTTTCTATCAATAACAATAAAAATGTATCGCATGTATATTTAACATAACTTCGTGTTTCTTCCGTGTCTTTTAAAAATATTTTAATCTGTGTGGCGAAAGTATTGTGCAGTGGCACAATGGCAATGTAAAAAGAACGCTCGATAGATTACGATGCAATAAACCGTTACTTGTTTCTAACTAGATCGAATCGTCTGATGTATCAAACTCTTTATTGTACACGCACCGTTACCATTCGCTAGAATATACATCCATTGTACAGTAGAATTGTTTTTATCGATTTATGCAGTCGATGGTTTAAAAACGGTGCGATTGTATATCGCGATAATATGTTTTATTTTGAACCATGACTTCATGATTTTTATTCACAGTATTGTCATATTGTTATTCCATCTATATTACACATTTTGTAGGTGTCATAATTTATTGTTTTTCCATATTTTGTAAATACAAGTTATAATAGATAGGTTAAAAATAATTGTAAAAATTTATTTAAGATTTGATCGTTGCTGGTATTTGTTTTCAGTAATGAGATATGATTACACGAAACTTAAGGAATAACTAAGATATAGTCAGTTTTTATTATATCACGCAATACTATAGTAAATCTAGCAATAATTTAACGTATGCTGTGAACATTGGTTGTATCCAGACATTTACCACTCACTAAGTCGCTCTGTGAGTGGGTGAGGTTACAATTATTTTTTGCACTAAAACATAGCGATCCCTCTCTGATTGCAAGCCAATCATTCAACTATACTTACATATGTATTTATTTATTTATTTAAGTGCAAATCTGTAATAATATTGTTTTTAGTACTAACAGCGCCATCGGTGGGAAAACGCCTAAGTTTGTAGTGAAAATAGTTCCTACAGTTTCTGTAAGATAGCGTGAGCGATGCCTTTTAATAAATCACTCTTTATTCTTCATAAATGCATAGTTAATACAACTCTTTACTATATAATACTATCCCAAATCTATTATTTGTATAAATAGTTATTTAATTTAGCAATAATTATCGACGCTGCTCGTTAGTGGCGCCATTGGTGGGAAAACGTCTAAGTTTGTAGTGAAAATAGTTCCTGCTGTTTCTGTAAGATGGCGCTACAGAAACCTTTAATCAAATATTTTTTATTTTACATAAATGCATATATAATACGATTCTTTGTTCTAAAACACTGCAATATACGATTTCAATATATTGTTTAACGATTTATTTGCTTATTATATATGTAAATTCAGCGATAGATGTAAAACTTTTTTGACGCCATCTAGCAATAATAGTGGGAACTATTTTCACTACAAACTTGGGCGTTTTCTCACCGATGGCGCCACTGGCACTAAAAATTATCGAGATTTGCTGTACTTATTTAAATCATCTCCATTTAATATTTAGATAATCCTTTGTCCAACAAGAAAGTTATAAGACTCACGTTAAGTGATTCGTATTAAGTTATAACACTCACACCATCAATTATAGACGGGCCCGGTTTCTGGGCTCACGACCCACTTCTTCTTTCAATTACAATAATACTTGTGTAAATTCTTGCGAGAAACTAAGCTGAAATATTTTATTCTGTTGTTACGACAGATAGAATGACTTCTAAAGTTGATAATATCAATAAAATACAGCCTATCCTACATAATCTACAAATAATCTATACAAAGATGATGGCAATCAATAAGCTCATAATAAATAAATTTTGAAATATCAGTGACATTAAGCTTTGGCTATCTAGAAAATATCTGATAAGTGTAAATGTAAATTTTGTTTTGTCCTTATGTTTATGAAACGAGTGTTAACATTGTATAAACAATATTCGAACCTATTTCATCGTAATCTAAGGAACTTAATAATTTTATTCTTGAATAAAGATTATGTTTGTAATAACAAATAAAGTAATTTAGTTTACTTAATCGACATGCGCGACGACTGTGTCGATACTGTCACATACTAAGTTAACACTGTCGGTAAAAAATAAGATAAACACAATAAACAACACACCTGGAAGTATGTTAGCATATTCAAAGGCGCTCGAACCGACACACAATGCCCTGAACATTTACAATCTTTGATTAAACAAAGCGCTTCGTTATAAAATAATATTCCAAATCATTCTTAACAATTACGAAAGATTCATACAGTCAAATATTTTCACTGTATCAACTGTATTATCAAAAATAAGTTAATAAATTACAATTTTACACAGTTTTTTTAGAAACTGATCGGTGTACGAATACTTTCTACGCCCACTGTAGCTTCTAAAACGATCGCGATTTGCGGTATTTCTTTACAGTATGCTTGAAATACATGGTCATCAGGATGTCTACCTTTATACAGATGAGTAAAATCCAATTCAAACGGACGTCGATATAGTCTGAAAGGCAGATTCTTGTGATGAATAGCGCGCAAAGCTCACATTCATTTTCAAAATTATATTTATGCCACGCATGAGTCCAACGCAACATAGATTAGCATGAAGCTCCCAGAAAAGTGCTCGGCGCTCAGCTACAATCAGTCCCACCTTTACTCTTTTTCATTCGGTT